ATGCGGGGCTAAACTACGGTCCCTTCCTTGAGTGGATTCGCTTCAGTGGCCGTGCCTTGTACCCTTCAGGATTGGTTCCGTACAACTAGGGGTAAGGGAGCTCGGAACACTCTGGGCAGGAATGGTTCGATGGAGGATGCGGTGGCGTGCTGCGTTGTTGAAGATCAATCATTGTGCGCCGGTTGAGTCTGCTGAAATGGTGGTGGGGATTGCTGGCTTTGGTAGTGGACCTGGAGCTTTATTTTTTTTCAGGATGTTTCATTTCCTATGTCTCTGCAGGAGTGACATATTACTGGGCCCGGCAGGACATCTGCTTGGCTCGTAGCTGCGTGTCCTTATGCTGGGCAAGGGAACTCGCTTCATTCCGGCGCAATGCTCGGTTATTCGTGTGTGCACGATAGGTTATATGTGTGTTATTCCTCTTGTCCACATGCCTGTATTGCAAGGCATAATAAAATAAGAGAGGCATAGTATGAGGTTGGGGCTAAGCCCGAAGCGGCTTTTGCACGTGGCTGTCGTTGTGTGCCCTCGTATCTCCGAGATAGGGATAGGGGTTAGAGAGGGGAACAATAGGCACACATTAGCTTGTTTTCTTGTGTGTTTACATTACCTTGGTTATTTATAACAGAAACCTATGTGGTGGCGGCGGCCATGTCTCAAGCGTTCCTCTCTCGTTATTAAATTGCCAGGCGTGAGCCAACGGCGGTCTTACCTAGGCCGGCGGCGGAAGAAGAGCTGTACAGGCGCAGTAATGTTTTTTACTAGTGCATTTTGAGCCGCTGCCAAAGAACTGGCAACTTGAACCCCCTGCTATTACTGCTGGCTGCTGTTGTTGCTACTCCCGCTCCAGTGCGTCGTTTCCTGCCTTGGGGCAGAGGGCGGCTGTGACTGCTGATGGGACGATGCGAAGAGCTTTGATTATGATTTTGTAAATTGAGTGCTGTCGATATGTGAGTTCAGACCAGCCGTTTATCTAACGGCAAGCGCATTGTTGAGCGTCGTCGAGCCCCGCAGAGGGGTGCAAAGATTAGGGATTGGGTTCGGGTACCGGTCAGGCAAAAATTAGGATTCTGAAAGAGGGGCAGGATTAGGATACAAAGTTGGGGGCAGGTTTAGGATGAGGACCCTAGTGTAGGATTAGGATTGGGACCTCACCCACAGGATTAGGATTGGGACGACTTTGGGACCCGGCCACAGGATTAGGATTAGAACCCCGACCCTAGGATATGGATAAATACCCCAAATCCAGGATCAGGATTAGTACACTGGTGCTGTATTAAGATTAATGCACTGCAATGATTGGCGATTAGGATACTGCTGTATGTGTAGGAGGAGGAGGATGAGCAATTCCCAGCTCCTCCAGCTACCGTTCAGACTGGGTTAGAAAGTTGTTATGCCATGCCATACTTAGTTATGTGACTAGATCCTGTTTCTTACAAGGTGAACTGCATCTGCATAACTGAAATGGTCCAAGTCGTCCCCTCCCGTCCGTTTGAGCTTGACGGAGAGAGTGGCAGGAGGGAAGTTGCTTTCGATGGATACATGGGTAAACCATAGGAAATAGCAAGACGAGCAAGTAACACCTAGGAAAAGGAAATTACATGTAAACGAGGATTGGGCGCACTAGGGCACACAGGGCCCACGTAGGCATGCACTGACCCATGGGTCAGGTCATGTATCCACTGTTCTCCCAGCCGAATACAGGAACCTACATTATCAGCATGAGCCCCGCGGAATTTGCAGAGCCATAGCAAATCATGTTTTCTCTCTCTGCTGAATTAGTGCATCGCCACGACTTACATGTTTTCACTCTTTGCCTAGGTTTTGCCCTCGGACATGAAGTCCGGGAGGTTACGTGTCGCTAGATCTTATCAGGGTGGGTGCGGAAGAAGGAAGAGCAACCTCTTGAGACCGCACCATGAGCCATACCTCGAGGGTAAGGTAGCTGACCTCCCAGATGGTAGATACCCTCCAAAGACCATGCTCGAGGCCGAGGTGACGAGCACAACTAACAAAACTTACTCAACATGCAATTGCACAACTTGCTCAACATGCAAGGCCGCAATGAAGTCTTCGCTTCCTGAACCCACGATGACTGTGACTTCGACGCCACGCACGCGCGAACAGGAGACACTAAAGTGATGTGACAGCGCCCATAATAAGGAACTTCATCCCCAGTATGGCCTATACAGTCGCACATTCATCCAAGATGCTGTTCAAGCCCTCGACCAAGCATGCATGCCTGCGACCTAGGTGTGACCCAATTTCCGTATGCAAGCAAAGCCCAAGACCAACCGAGCAGCTTTAGGTGATACACTCGCAAGGCCACGTGCGGAACCTCAGCAGCGCGGTAAACGAGATGAGTTCAAGAGTGTGATCTACCACTTTAAGACAATTGTCCCCCCATGGGAACCCGTGGAGATAAATCTTTTTGGGTGGGATTACGAGTCATGCACAGCCAAGCCAAGCAAACTTGCCCTACAACAGTTCCGTCGCCTTGTACACAATATGATGCCTCGAGGCGGATAAATGGGGTGGCATGACAGGCGCAAACACGTGCGACAATTGTGTGAATGAGTCGGGAAGTTCTTGGTAGCTATCCAAGGGTTCTGATAATTTGAAAAGTAATGTTGCAATGTAAAGCGGGAAGGGGTGGGATAGTTCTAATCGGTCTTCGATAACGTGGCTGCACAGTTCCCGGTGTTCTGTTCTTTGAAAAGGAGGACATGTGAGAACATGTGTATCCGTGGTCTGTTAATAGAAGTGACGAGAAGTCTATTGGCCGCCCAGACTCATTTGCGGCAAGAAACACTCTCTCTTAGTTAGCTCTCCTTTGTGTTAAATAACTTCTTGACGCCGTCTGAACGTTGCACCGCTCAGACTGCCACAGGAAAGTTCAGGCAGCCTAGATTAACAACAAAACAACATTCAAACTCAAAGTTCCATCAGCAGCATCAAGACCACAACCCCGAGAACGCGGGGCGTACCGCACCAACCTCGCCAACGATGGCGTTGACGACGACCATAGTACAATGATGGTCCAGACAACTTGCTTCGCCAGCACAAGCAAGCGTGTATTAATGAAGTTGTTGGCGTGCGATTGTAGGGCCTTGTGTACAGGATTCGCTCGCACTCACAAAGTTTACGTTTCCATCCGCGTCTGACTGTCTTGCCAGAGGAGTACCCATCAGATGGGAAGCAACCGGGAGTGCAAATGGCGAAGTATAAGCACTGGATGGGCCTGCCCTTTTCGGGAGCCGCGGTCGTCATGTGGCCAACACATGCTAAGGTTTTCATTTGTCGTTTAGCACATCGTAAGCTAATGCAGTTTCGTTTATGTTGCTGGGCTTTGGAGGCAAACAGAGCACGAAGGGGCAAGTACCATGTCCCCAGGGGGCAGCGGTTTTGCCACTGTTGTGGTCCTAATAGCCGAATCGAGGATGAAAAACACGTGTTATTGGATTGCCCAGCCTATAATGATATTCGTGCTGAAGAGAGATTCGATCATCAACAGAGCATGTTGGAGGCCATGAAATGGGAACCCGCACGTCTTGCGAGGATGTTGGAACGTATGTGGGCTCACCGAAACTCAATTACCCCCTTTGGACGCTAGTCTGGGCTGATGTGCGGTGTTTTCCTTTCCTCCGTGGCTTTTAGGCGTTGTAGTATTGCCCTTGGGCCTTCGGCTCGTATGGGTAGTCTTACAGGTATGGGGTCACGCACCCCCAACCATGTAACACACACACACACACACAAATACTCCCTTCCACTTCCAAGTGTGATTGGCTTACGTACATCATACCATTTGGCTTGAGCCATGGCATTGATCCGGTCGATGACCAGCATCTTGTAGTTTTGAAGGAGCGCAGCAATATCTTAACAGTTCAACAGAGACGCCTTATCCTCCACGCCAAGTGTATTGCAGCGGGCCAACCAGCAAGCCCCGTGAGCTTGCGGGTTTGGGACTGCACTGCACGTATGTGCGGTTTTGGGGGAACCGACGATGCCAATGGACCACCGAAGACGCTGCCGACCACGTTTTCGCTCACACATAATGTTAGAGTTGCATTGTTGCTGTTGTTGCTTGCATAACGTAATGTTTACTTCCTGTGCAAGAAAGGAAAGGTAAGCCAGACCTAGTCTTGGGTTTTAAAACCCGCTTTTTGAAAGACTTACAGGAAAGCCCTAAGCAAGTGGAATAAACACACACAGGTTCTTGCAAGATCCGCATGAGGGGTGTGTCATAAAGCAAGATTTTTCGCAGAATAGTTCAGGCGGTTCGCTTGCGGTAGGCCTATTATCCTCGTAATAGGCCTTTCGTTTGCTGACAAACAGTGGGCAAGACGCGCGCAAAGAGTTGTTGCGAGTTGCAATCCTCGTGGAATGTCATTAAACGAGATGTAGGTAGAAACACCGATCTGTTTACCTACCTAGTATGCAGCGGGACGATGCGTGACCAGGGTTCCCTATGAGATGTTGCAGCATGACTGCCATCTGGGTATATGTAGTCCTGTATGATTGCTGCCGTTTGCCACAGGACCATTTGAAAATCATATTGACACCACAGGTAGCGAGCTTGGACGAGTTCTTCGACCGGATGGTGCGCGGGAAACTAAGATCAACAAGGTTAAGATCCATCGGGGTTCTCCCGCTGACTTGCCATGAAAAGACCCGATAGCGCCACATTTATGCCCTTCTAACAACTCGCTGTCGTTAAAACCGATTTTCAAAGACCGTCATGCATGTCATGTACGGAAGTCCGCCCGCCCACGGATTCCTGCGCGTTAAGCATACATAAACTGCGTGGGCACAGAGCATGCCTTAATCCCCTTGCCTAAACTATCTGGCTTGGGTGGATCTCGATTTAGCCAGCGCTCTCATCCGCCCTCCTGACGTCCCGGAGCACTATCCACGCTCACATTTCCTTCCATCAGCTTGGCACTTCAAGTGTTGCGATTATCCACCAACGCAGTCAAAAATAGCACCGGTGATCCATATCAATGGCCTGGTGCCTGGGTGCCTTGCTTTTACATCTCGCGCTGTTGACAATATGCCCATGTTTGGCAGACCAACATGGCACGACTCGTGTAGCTTTATACATGGATGCCACAAGTGACGTCCTTGACTTCAATTGGAATGATGGCCCAAACAACCTGCTAGAGCAGCTTGAGCAGCTTGGCTTCCATGTTCAGGCTTCGCATGCTCATCAGCCAAACCTTCTTGGCACTGACAAGCCATCAGCCTACGTTGTGCCTGTACAAAACGGACACCTGTTTTACAGCTCAGTTGAGGATATGGGCGCTGTGGCTGCTTATGTCCATTCGGGCGGCTTGGTTATCATCTTGGACGCAAACCACGGCGAAGGCGAAGCCCTCCGCAATTTCGTCGGCTCTTCTCTGGGCTATGAGGGTGAGACATGCAATTTGTTGGTCTTGCTTTGTTACCGTCGTAAAGGCATTCAGTTGCCTTGGCTAATTTCAAATTTGACAACAGCTACATTTTGTCTACCTGAGCCCTTTACAATCTGCCTTCCCCGCCTATAATACTAGGCACATGGAGCCACTGCAAGCAATTACAAGGAAATTCCAGGGGTTTGGCAGTGCTGAACGGCTACGTATCATCATCCTTCCTTTCCGACGCTGCTGATTCCTGGCCGCAAACCCTAGAGGATGCACGCGCAATCACATATACAACTTGGTGCCGTCACGAGGATGAATTTGCAGTGACCTTGCCGCTTTATACGTCTCAACTTGACTCCACAAGGGTGGCAGTTCAGGTGGGATTGTTTGTGGTGAACTGCACGAAATATGTATTGAATAGTGGCATTTTTAATACTTCTGTCGGCATAGCATTTTCTGCAGCAGCAAATACACAGATCGTCTGCGGATCCCATACCTACGATTATTGCAGGCTTTCAGCAAGGTTAATAACCCTGGAGCTGTCGTCTGGTTAGGATATGACTGGACGGATGGCCCACAAGACCAGTGGGGCGCTCTTCTAAAGAAGCTCGTCACAGATTTCGCGCAAGGTGAGCAATCCGGCATCATTTGGCATCTGGGTTTAGGCTGGTTTACGTACACGCACTGTGCATCGTTTTACCGTCTTTTCCTAAGCCACCCGTTTTATAAACTGTAGGCCTCAGCCAAAACAATATTTCAACGGCCCTTCGCTACCCGCCTTTGTCCAGGAGCTTACTACGCGCCTTTGTTCGGAAACGCCGACGCACATCCCTTGTTTGCTGTGGACGCCGTCTTGGAGACCGCATCGGATGTCGTTGCGGATGCAGCTGAGATTGTGCGGCGCTTCCTGGCGGTTCCCGGAATGTATCCCTCCACGCCGGCAAACCCCCCTCCCTCTTCGCCCCCCGAGCTTACGGGCTTTCCCCCACTGCCACTTGGCAAGGCCATGGAAGTTGCAAAGTATACGGCAGTGTACCAAGAACCAGCTGGGGAGGAGTTTGACTTCATGGGGCTCATCAATCGCCTGAAAATCTCGGTGGCTGCTGCAAACGTAGGTCGATGACGTTGTTCGGATACGTTGTCTCGCATGCCACAAATGTGGAACAGAATTTGTTTTGTGCTTACGAATACCATTTGTTTCACGTTGCCGTGTTTGCAGGACGTGCCGACTGGCAACGTGATTGTCAACTTTATCATTTTCCCCAACGGAACCGGCTTGCGCGGACATTGGCGTCGTCGCGCAATTGAGACTTCCGAGCGCATCTTCACCGATACAGAGATTGCTGAGATGTATGCGAAGACGGATGTGCGGCCCCTTGAGCTTTACCTTGTCAACAAGGCCCCCATCACGGATGAGATGATGCTTCAGGTATGTGAGGGGCAACTTTGTGCACGGTTCGCTGTATGTAAGACAGCACCTGTGATCGGAGTAATGCGGTGCAATACGTCTTCCTAACTTAGTCCTGTGTGATTCCAGTCATTTTTGGTCGTTTTTAAATGACTGTTGCTGTTTCCTATTTTACCCTGGCCTTGCTTGGTTTCATTGGTTGCAATACAGCTTGCGCAAGAGGAGACGGAGTTTATCCGTCGTGCGATGCTGGACGGCACGGCGGATAACGCAGCACAAGGCGGCCTTCTTCAGATTGGTTACCTTGTTATCAAAATTATCAGTGTGGCCTATCCTCCATCGCCACCGCCCTCGCCGCCGTTGGAGCCTGGACAGATTGCCCCGCCTATGATGCCCCCTTCGCCGCCCGAGCGACCCTCCTTCCCCCCACCTTCGCCTCCTGTCAACTTCACCCGTATTGAGCTTGAGACTGGTAAGCAATAGTGTGGGGCCTAGTTAATGCCACATTTGCTGTGTCAGTCAATGCGTATTACAAACATTCCGCCAGCACCCTTTGACACCGAAGCCGCGATTAATGAAAATGGTTCCCGTGCTTTGTAAACCTTTGAAGGACTCTTTCCCTAGGCGGTCATTCGATACACGTCGTGCCATGGTCGCAGGTGCATTTGGCGTCAAAGATGGCTGGTCGCCGCCATCGCCGTCGCCGCCGCAACAACCGTCGCCGCCGCCAATGCCGCCGTCGTCCCCGTTATCCCCATCCCACCCGAGCCCGTCGGCTCTTCCATCGCAGCCTCCACCAGTATTTCCTGTGCAGTCGATTCCATCACCGCCATCGCCATCTCGGCCCTCCCTTTCGCCGCCGTCTCCATCTCCTCCGTCACAGTCGCCGCCTGCACCGCCATCCCAGGTGTCTTTATCGCCGCCTCTGCCTTCACCATCGTTGCCGTCACCGCTGCTTCCATCACCCAAGCCGCCGTCACCCAAGCCGCCAGCGCCGTCACCATTGCCAAAGCCGAGGTCGCCTAAGGCGCCACGGAAGCCACCGTCACCAAAGCCCCCATCCCCAGCGGCTCCTCCTCCCTCGCTTTTTATCAAGGTCACGAACGTCTCTGCTCACGGCGCGCGTGGCAGTAGCAGGTACGTCAGCTGGCCGTTTCGTACGCTGAGGCATGTGACGTTGATCATAGCGATTTATGGTAGCTAGGCTGGGTTACTGCAAGCTACTTCGAACGTGGCTTGTTGAGGAAATGAATGTTGAGGCCAATTTGCGCAATTTCCCGCAGGTCTCTTGTTTGGAATGATGACGGGGACTTCAAGTCACAGCTGACAAAGCAATCTCCTCTCCAACTGGTGAGTCGCATTCGTCCTGCCCTGTGTTCGGTGTGCGGCCCATTAACAGAGAAAGCGGTTCTATCGCGACATGACGCCCTGCACCCTTTGCTTTGTCAACATCAATAACCGCAGGTCTACCCGGCAAAGCCGTCATGTCCGACAACCTGCACGGCCTGTCAGTACGCGTGGAAAGCGACCGCGGACCAGCTCAGTGTTGCGGTATTTTTCAAGGAGCCCATGCAGATTTCGCGCATATACCTCAAGCAGATTAGGAATTCCGGAGTTATTACCGTAAGCAAGCTGTGGCTTTGGGTCGGGGTTATCAACCCTTTTCAGACCGCATGGGCTCCTGTTATGCGTCTGTACGTGCTGTTGGACTGGATTGGCTGCTGATTACCATGTCCCTTGATCTTTCCCGCCTAACATCTTTATGCCCTTGCCGCCGTTACGTGTATGTAGGTCCAATTCATTAGATGGGTGTACCCTCCGCGGGGCGTGGTTGAGGGCAACCTTGGCCGCACCGTCTGGAATGTTACTGACGACACGAGCATGTGCCAGTCGGTGTTGGCGATCAACGTTAGGCCCGCAAAGAGCGGCATGAACCTGGCTGTGCCAGCGGGCGGCAGCCCGGCAAACTTGCCTACCAAGCTGCAGGCCACTGCCATTGGCGGCGTTTTGGTGACCATGGAGCGGCCTCGCAATGCGGGGCTAAACTACGGTCCCTTCCTTGAGTGGATTCGCTTCAGTGGCCGTGCCTTGTACCCTTCGGGATTGGTTCCGTACAACTAGGGGTAAGGGAGCTCGGAACACTCTGGGCAGGGATGGTTCGATGGAGGATGCGGTGGCGTGCTGCGTTCAGCAGGAATGACCATGTATTGCGCGCCGGTCAATATGATTGATTTTCGTACGCAGGTGTTTCGCTTGCTTGGGGCAGGAAGGCTTGAGTAGAGAAGACGGGCTGGGGTGCTACAGTGAAAGGGGCCTGCGGCAATCGCTGGAACTGGCTTTGGAAAGCTTCCTCTGGTGCCACCTGTTACGACGGTGGTGGAGGTTGCAGGCTCAAGCTGTGGGCCAGGATGTCTTTTGCAGGATGTGTTTTTTATTATCTGCAGGATGCTACGGCCACGTTTATTTCTTCGTCGGCTTCCTCGCGAGCTTTACTATAGTAGCTAGTCCACTAGCTAGTGGATATGCAGCGGGCGTCTATGTGGTGTAGTTGCTGGTAGTTTGTTCTTATTAATATGGTGCTATTAATATATTCGTCACAATGACCGTTGGGATAAGCAGGTGGTGAGGAAGGAGCATTTATACTTGTTTGTGCATAACAAGGCTGGGTTCTGATGCGCCGGACATGATGTTGAGGATCGTGGAACAACAGTGTTCGACCTTTGCCAGGATGCTGCGTAACGGCAATCTAGGGTCGCTGAAGGACCTATTGCCTACATCGTTTCCCTCGTGTTTGGGACTTTAATGTTTCCGCTCCCGGTTGCAACACCCGTGCTACAGATCAAATCGTAGTCTGTAAGGGTAGGCCTTGCCAAACCCTGCCGTCGCCTCGACAAGCGTAACCAGACAATAACTTATAGCACGGTTACAGCACTTGCTTAAGAGAAACGAATTCTATGGTACGGGAAACCGGGCCCGTTCACCCAAGACGAACTTTGCCATGCGGTATTTACGTGGCATGGACAGCAGTGAGCTTGTGCGTCCCCTTTGGCACGTACCCTAAGGTTTGAGGGTTGCTCGTTGAGCATCCAGAGAAGATCCCTCGGTCATACGCAACGGATCCCTTGAGCGAGGGGTTGCTTATCTGAAGGTCCCCATGCCTGGCATACAACTCGGGCTTCCAGGCCTTGCGCAGAAACTGGGCACGGTTCCCAAAGCGCTGAGTAATCTGCAAGTGTCCGTTGTTATCCCTTCCGTGGACCCTGGAATGAGAATCCCTGGGGCAGCGGGTGTTTTGATCTGTCCAGGGTTTGCACCATCTGGGGAGCCTCGCCTTGCTCCAGACTTCACCTGCTGCCTCCTGCTCCGAGCCGGAGCCGTTTAACAGTGCGGATGTGCCCAGCAAGGACGCCTCTACATGGCGTGGATACCCTTCCCAGGAAGCAGCTGATCTCCAGAGAAAGTTGTATCATGTTCGTGAAGCTCGTCAAATGGGCTACCAGGTGCCCCAACAGGCATAGCAAGGAGTTTTCTGAACATCCCAGGCAGGGGTAGCAGTGATGCTGCATCTCCACTTTGGCATCTCCATTGAGTGCGCTTCATGCTCCATCTCCAGATGTTGAGACATCACTGACATTAATTGCGGGGATAGGCCCGGAGATGGGTTCCCAGTAAAGGGCCGCTAGCTCCAGCTTTGTTTGTCCATCTTGGGGGCTGCATGTCCAAAGTGGCAGCCGCGCAGGTCCAGTTGGAGCTGCTGCCATGCCGGCATGCTGCTGCCCTCCTCCGTAGCCCTGGTCCACTCTGCTGGCGGTATGGTGGGATGGGACATGGTGCTGGGACCGGCCTTACCTGAGCCCCGTACCATGGAGATGGGTGGGGCCGCACGTGGATTCTCCCACGTTGCCCCTGGGTTGGTGTAGCTGCCACTCGCCGGCATGGAAGACTGTAGGATAGTCCGAGTAGACCTCCACAAGGTCGGGGAGGGTCATTATCCTAGTAGGTTAAGGGCGTAAGAACTGAATCCGGGGCTACAACTGGAGCGGCAGACACGCCTAATGCTTCGTCAGAACAACTATCGAGACCGATTCTACAGCAGCAGACGTGGCATGCACAGCTGAAGGGTGAGCAGCCTCGGGGCCGCGCCGCCTATTGCCGAGGGCCTCAAAACGGCGCGGGCTGAATCCTGGTCCAAAATGACAGTGCCGAGATTAACCCCCTGACAGGAGTGATGGCGGTCGTCTCACCATGGATGAAGTCCTTCATTGGATCTGGCTATGGCCAGGGATTTGGGTACAAATTCCTCGGGTTGCTGATGCCGTGACGGGTTCTCCCGATATACATACATGCCGCCATGGACGGCTTGATCCAAGGTGCGTCGGCAGCAGGAGTGAAAGACCTCATCGCGGACTGGTGGCCGCAAGCCATGGATGACGCTATGCATGTGGATCGCATCCATCGGGTCGTTGAACCGCAGCTGCACTAGCAGGCCACGGTCACGGCCTGCATAAGCACCTATGGAAAGAAGCACTCCAGGAATCCAGCCTGGTCAGCCTGGAAGTCCTGTGTGGTATGTATTAGAAAGTTTCTCGGTGTAATACATTGATCGGCGGCACAAATTCCGATACCCACAGCGCTACGGCCAGAAAGTGGTGTCCATTGACAAGGACGCTAAGGTGCTAACGCTGGAGAACGGGCACCAGTACCAGTACGACGCGCTGGTGTCCACCACTCCGCTGGACCTGACGCTGACATGGCTGGGCAAGGAGGAGTGGGCCAAGGGGTTGCAGCACAGCTCCTCTCACATCATCGGCATTGGCATCCGTGGGGAGTGCCCGCATGGAACCAAGTGCTGGCTGTACTTCCCGGAGAGCAACTGCCCGTTCTACCGGTGGGTGTTCTCAAGGTTTATCGTCTTGAGCGGCCAGGACCAGCCGATGGCCGGCCTTCCGAAATGTATGTCCAACGTTTTAGTCCGTTTCTTTGTTAGCCTGGACTAAACTCAATTAGACCGCAATGCGTCAGGACGCTGACGGCTCATGGAGCCTTTCGGCCTTCATGGTTGACACCTTTGCCTACTTTGCATGCGATCTCCTCAGGTGCACGGTGTTCTCCAACTACGCGAAGTTGAACTGCCCGGCGGACGACGCAAAGCTGCCGACCCTGTGCCTGGGCGACGGCAGCGCGCCAGCCAGCAGCGATCCTAAGGAGGGCCCCTACTGGTCGCTGATGTTTGAGGTTAGCGAATCCAGCTACAAGCCGGTCAACCAGGAGCCGGTCACACTGGGCGGCACTGCGGGCACTTGGTCAGTGGGAAGCGGGTGGGGACCGCTACAGAGTATTGCGTTGTGCGGCCGCATCCTGGCGAATCGGCTAGCAGTATTGGGGTGCTCTGTTAACTTGTGGGTCGCACCGTCCTGGCAGGTCCGACGTCGTCCGTGACACGCTTATCGGCGCTATCAACACCCAGCTCATGAAGCCAGGTGACGAGGTAGTGTCGCTGTACCACCGCCGAATCGAGCACGGCTATCCCACCCCGTCTTTGGGCCGCGACGAGGTGCTAGAGAAGGCGCTGCCCTGGTTGCAGCAGTTCGGGATCTGGAGCCGCGGCCGCTTTGGCAGCTACAAGGTAGGCCACGGCCGTATTGAGAGGGCATGACCTTGCCGCATGGCCTGAAGCCCAGCGTATTTGTCGCAGCCTGAACTTCCCAGTATAACCCAAACGGATATCCCTACACGAGTCGTACTGCACCCTTATCACCCTTATCGCCCTGATCTGTTCCTGCCGTACGCAGTACGAAGTAGCCAACCAGGACCACAGCCTGATGTTGGGTGTGGAGTGCGTTGACAACATCCTGTACGGCACAAAGGAGCTCACACTTGCGTACCCGGACATTGTGAACGCCAAGAAGAACAGCGAGTTGCTGTACCTCAGGAAGTGAAGCAGGCGGGCTGTGTGTGTTGTAGCGGTTGCGGATGTCGGCTTTGGTCAGCCGTCCGTGATTAGGGTCAGCTTTGATGTAGGTAAATGTGCTGGCGACCTGTATGTGTTCCATGCGATTATATGGGGAACGGGCATTTAGTGGGCAGTGACGTGTGGATTTTCTACCCTACAGTACGTGACTGGGCGATATTAATAGCAATCGTTGCATGGTCACTGTCATACCACTCGTGTACTTCGTTGTGATGGTTCACGTGTACGGTTAGGACCTTTGACACCCCTGATGTGTGCGATCAAGTGCGATGTGCGTGTATTCATCTAGATGTGCAGGGAAGGGTCCGCTATTCATATGCCGTCAAAGCTGGAACGTGCCGTAACCCTCCGGAACCTGTACGGCACCTCTCTGCATGTGGCTGATTGTACATATCTGGGCTTCGGTGAACTGCGTGGCTTGAAACACATGCATATCTTCTGGGTGTGTGGATCAGTGTAGATAGTGCGGATGCATCCTGGGTTTTCTCAAGTTACAAGTTACAGTTACAAGTTACAAGTTACAAGTTACAAGTTACAAGTTCCGCACGTGTGCGGGGGTGTCCATGGAGGCCGGGGGGCCCATGGGCGGTAAATCGTTGTTAGTGCGGTTACGTGGTGGATCTACATCATCCTCCCTCGTCCGCTTCAGCATGCAGCTGCATGCAGCTCCGGATCTCCCAAATGTCCGACAGGAGCCCGGTTAGTGCCAGGGGTGGGGCCTCTGTCCTAATCGTGTGCAAGTCGTGCCCTTGAAACACAAGGTCACGTTCATATTTAGCCCCTGTACTTGTGTAAGCCGGGCATTCAGTAAAAACGTACGTTTCATCCTCGACTGCCCCACATTCACATCTGTAGGTGCTTGAATCAAGGTGGTTGGACGTGATGTCCTGTTTAAACACTTCCTGGCGTGTCATACGGCACGGTACTGCAGAAATGGTCAGGTTGTGCAGCTTCGTCAGCCTGTTTTCTTATGTTTCCAATTTTACTTCATTTCATCATGTACCCGCTGTAATATTGTATTTTATTGGCACTTGCATTGCCATCGCCTCGCGCCTGTATCGCAGTGTGTGTGTTTCCGTGTCATGGCACCCTTGAATTAGGATTGGGGCCCCAAGCCTAAATTAAGGTTAACGAACCAGCCACACGATTTCGGTTGCAATACAGCTCCATGACAAGGATTACGACACGGCCAACAGGATTAGGATTTGGGCCCCCGCCGGGCAGAATTAGGATTGCGGTCCGGCCACAGGATTAGGGCCCCTTTGCAGACCTCTGGCAGAAGCAGCTGGGTGGGGGATTTAGGCATCATCTTCATTGGTGTAAATGACGGACAGAGACCAGGCGCAATCCTATCATGTGCTTCAGGGACAATGACGATCATGGTAACAAAATCGAGGCTGGAAGACAGCACCAGTCTCGAGAGGCGCCTCCAGCTTACATTGCCCCACCACTGGCAGGGCCCGCTTGTTGTGAAACACCATCCGAACCACCACTGCTGCGGGCCTTCTCGGGTGGATATGATCCTCGCAAGCTAGCTGCCAACAGCGAATACAGCCGTCCTTGTCTGGATCTCATAGCGCTCGCACGGCGTTTGGAAGGATCGCGGAGCGAATTCCTGGCTTTGGCACGACGCATTATGTAAGGGGTTGGCTTTAGTCCGGTAGTCCAACCACTATCAGCCAAGGCCGCTCAAGTTTATTTCAGTTCGACCTACGTAAACGTATGTTTCAGCTAATTCGATAAGAGACTTTGCTCTGAACTGCAAAGGGGTTTGCAGAGAATGACCCGCGGTACCATGCAAGCGACATCCGAGTCACAAAGGAAGAGCTGGTGTGATGATAACTGGAACTATGTCTGTAAGCCAGGCACACTGTAAGCCAGGCACGCATAAAGTCCCGCGCATTGAAGGCTCCACGATCCCTAACGTATACGTAACCAGTGTGCAACGCATACATCCGTCATTAGCCAACGGTGCTGACTTGGTTTAGATATAGAATTTGCCGGCTTTTCGTCACAAGTATTTGGGATGCTTCTGCCACGCGTTTCGCCACAACGCTACCTTACTCGTGCAACTACTTACAAACATCTGCGGTCAGTCAGCGTTGCAGCGATGGCTAATACGGTTATCTACGTTAAGGGAGACCCTGCAAACAAAACGCTTGGTGATTGTAAGTCTTTCGCGAAGATGTCTACTCGAGAGTGGAGACTGTTTGGGCCATCCTTGGACAACCTCGATTCCGTATCCCTTCCCAAATTACAATCATCAGCGTTTAATGGAAAGACTACATCCTTATTCATTATCTTAGCTGCCTTTGCTGCGGACTTCTCATGTCGGCGAAGTGTTGTCCTTCCCGCTGCTTCGCGCACCTCACCTCCTTCCAAGGCCCTCGGCATCTTGGCTTTCCCTGTCCCCCAATATACTCCTGTGTGGCTTCTCTCGTGCGTATGAAATACGCGTGCTACAAGCCATTATCAAACCATCTGTTGCCCTCGCCCCTTCAGGAAAGGCCATTGCCTTGTCCCCTCGCCATGCATGATCCACGAAAAGTAATCCCATACGCTGAGCGCATATCATTCAACCCACACCGCCTTAAGCTCAGATCACCGTTCGCGGCACCTGCTGCCACCAAAGGTTCCCGTTCCGGACTGTGTCAGACCGCCGACCCGCTGCACGCACCTTCACCCCGCCCAACCCACACAAACACTCTGCTTTGCGGCTCCGCCTCCATTCCTCAAACCTCTTGACTGCCCATTTGCGCGTCACCGGCGTGCAGGCCCCTTCTGTCACCGCGCCCTGCTTACCTTTGAGCGGAAAAAGGTGCCGTACACCCTGGATTACATCGACTTCGCCAATAAGCCTTCATGGTGCGATGAGCGTGTGGGGGGGGGCATGCGTGGTGTTTTCTTCATTGAAGGTGTACTCTCTCTCTCTTGTAAACTGCATTAAAGCGCTGCGGTCTCTTCACTCTGCTGATCTGCGGCTGCCCGGGGTCTGTCGCAGGCTCCAAGACGTCAGCGGCGGCAAGGTGCCCGTTATCAAGGTGGGTGAACGCGTGCACCACCCGTACCTCTACACCTACCCTGGATCCAACGAGGATAAAGGCATGCAACAAAGGATGCACAAGGGGAGTGCGACGACGGCCTTGTTGTGTACATCGCGGCCGATTACTGCCTGCAGGAGGACGGCCAGCCATACATGCCGGACAGTGACGTCATTGTCGTACATCTAGAGGTACATCCTACGCATCGGCTTATGTGTACGCGGGCTTCGTAAAAGGGCTTTGTACAGGTTTTACACTGTGTGTTAAACAGAGATATGATGATTTCAAATGATGATTGTGAATTGAAGCGCGCGGCGGACCGACCAGAGCTCCGGCACAAGTGAAGCTCCAGTGCAACGGTGGAGGGGCGAAATCGAGAAGCGATAAGCCAGGTTGTTATTGCGAAGCAGGATGGGCGGAGATGGAACGATCTGAATGAGAGGGTTACCATAGGAGCCTCTGTATTCCGGTGAACCCACCAGCGACCGCGAGTGGACGCAGGCGAGCTTCAGGTCGGAGCCAAGTTAGCTTCACAGTTTAACCTGACAAATTAGCTTCTCACGAGGGCTAGCCAAGCAAGGCCGCTCCCTCTCGCTCTCCATTCGTCGCCCCTTCGGTCGGGGCCAACGACGACGTGGGTCCCCATGGATCTATTTTGACACGATGACAAGTTAGGAGCACGCCCGCGCAGACCCGCATCCGCATACCTCATGACGTCGTTCTGTCTCCGTTCCACAATGTTTATTTTAACTGCAGGAGAAGTATCCGGAGCCCTCCATGAAGTCCTCCGTGCCGCCTGAGATGTGAGTAGGCAATCCCGGGGTTCAGGCTACCAGGGTTGCTGTTGCGGCTGGAACCACCTGTCGCCCTGCATGATGTGTCCTCCAGGCGCCCCCCCGCTTGCTCTCCCTTTCGCTTCCATACTTCGCTGCGGCCATGCAGCCCTCGCGCGCCGTGCGTGCCATACCCATTACCCATCGCTTTAATTGTCATTCCCGGCCTGTAACGTACTTTTCTCCGGTATCGTTTACCACTAATTCACCACACCACGGAAAAAGAGAAACGTAAGGACATTACACTCCCCCACAGCCCTGAAACACAACACCGCCTCGATTACCTCACACCGCCATTTTCACGATGCACAGCGGCGCCAAGCTCTTCCCCGCCTTCCGCGGTGTGCTAATGGGCCCGCCGGAGGAGCTGGCTGACAAGCAGGCGCTGCTGATTTCGGAGCTGAAGGCAATGAATGACTACCTAGAGGCCCACCAGGCTGAGGTACGACAATGCAATACAGTACGGCAGTGTGATGACTGATTCCTGTTGAAAGGGTTAAGAATAGTCACGAACTCCGAGCTAAAAGCGCAAAGCGAGGAGTATATGCTATGTAGAGTGCGTCAATACACTGGAGCCGGAAGATGCATGGATGTGGCATCATTCCGTAGGTTACGTTTGAACACCAACTAGTGTACGGCAAGTGTTTGTGTGCCTCTACCGTCGCCTCATGATTGCCTTTCGACAATACAAGGTTTTGTACTGCTCGGGTTTATGGGGGATGCATGCAAATGAAAGTACTCTTACGACGTGAAAGAAGTTCGTCAGGAAACGTGATTAGGAATTTGCATCGTTTTTAGATTGATTCGTTTCCGTTGGCCCTCCCTGTTCTCTGCGTCGGGCAACATCTGGGTTCTCTTTCTCGTCTTTTTCCTTTCCACGGGCGGCTTTATTCCCCGAAAGAAGTACTGCTCAGGCCGTCTTATAGGCGTTTTTGCTTTCACGCCAGGGTCCCCTCTTTGGAGGTCATCAAATCAACGCCACGGACGCGGCAGTGGCTCCCAAGCTGTACCACGCCGTTGTGGCCCTCAAGCACTTCAAGGGCTGGGAGCTGCCCCCGGAGTTCGCCGCCGTTAGGAGGTGAGATGATGTTGAGGCGGAGCGGGGGGGAGGTGCGGCGGCTTCTCATGGAGGCAAGCGGGATGTCGGTGATGTGGGGGGACTAGGGAACGACAAATCGCCTCATGGCTCGGGAGAGATCCGAGCGTAAATGGCCCTAGTGAGTACGTGCCGGAGGAAAAGGTCCAGATTTGGTGGTCCATGCTATGCTGCCGAGAGCGCAGCTGCTATTGCTTTTGCGGTGGCCAGGCTTTCTGGCTACGCACTTGAAGTTGCGGTGGAATAGGCTGGGAAGGGCTGGGCGAGCTGGGAATGGTGTGTATGGATAGCAGTGCTTTTGCATGTTGTCTGCAGGACCCTTGTGTCGCGTATCTGAGCCATGTGCGCATATGTTTAAGAATGAAAGAAGCGTGAGCGAGTGTGGCCCACATGGCTGGTCTACCAGTCGGTCATTGTCACGTGCCAGTCTGTTGCGGCTTTGTATGGTGCTGGTGGTGTCCTCTTTCTTCGCTGGGGAGTTCTCTGCCACTCTGGAAAGCAACGCCCCAGATGGGCAGCACCCTCCCCTCCGGTCGCCCTTCCTTCACCTCGATCCCGCCGCCTCCACTTTGTCCCGGCGCGGATCATTGTTTTGTGTGTGCCGTGTACTGCCGCTTCTCCGACCACCTCGTGGTCCCCTAGGTACATGGCGGCCATTCAGCAGCTGCCCGAGTGGAAGAAAACCGACTACGGGGAAGCCATGATCATCAAGGGATGGGAGCGCCACATGGCGCACCATTGAGTCCCCGAGGGACTGCGGTAGGCTAAGGCGGGGCGCAATAGGCCCGTTGTATGCATGGATTTATCATTCGAGTTCGCGATGACCGCGTCTTTACTGAGCATGAAGCAAAGCGGGCAAAGGGACAGGTCCGGGAAGGAGGACGAGGAAGAGGGTTTGTTAGTAGCTTCTTACTTTCGTGCTGGTCCGTTCTGGCTGTGCTTTCCTCTGCTGCGTCGGTGTGCTGAGGCAGACGAACACTTTCTTTGTTGGGTCCGTTGGGGCCATGATTTCTGTCAAACGGCCCTAAGCCTGCAGTTGGAAATCGGCTGTTGCCGCGAAGGACGCCCCAGATGCAGGATGTTGACTTGCTGTTGACGAAGTGCTGAAATACAAGGATTGCTTGTCGCTGCTGCAAGGCATGCGCGTGGTTGCTCAAGCGTTGGGTGTTTGTGCAGGGAACGCATTAGGTCGAGCGCATGGTTTCAACGCGGTGTCATTTGTGCACGAATAACGTTGTCACTCTTTAATGTACCTTTACGGAAATCGGCGCAATCAAGCAGGACAGCTGCTGTCCAGGATCCAAGCATACGGCACTCTGTAGTTCCATACATACTTACATCGGAAATTTGTATATTTTTTACCTTTGGATGCCTGCTGATATCACCAAGTGAGCGCGTAAATATTACATCGATAACATTTTGTACCTTACAGTGCTGCGCAAAACGAAAATGCTGGGCATGTCGATTCGCGCTGAGAAGCAACCACTTTACGCGTGGCAGCGGCATACAATAAAGTTTTCCGCTTTATCGCAAACCAGCGCTGCAGTGCGTGAGGGTTGCGGTCCAACGGTGGATTCCCGCAAGGTATGTATCCTGAAGCACCAAGTCATGGCATCCCGCCTGCAACTAGTAACGTTTACCTTTAGACCGGGTTTCGCTCGTAGCCTTTCAAGTTCCGCCACTTTGTCGTGTACCAGGACCGCTGCGCTATGAAAGTAGGTACGGAAATGTCCAAGCCAAGCCACAGCCGCAGTAGCAGTAGCAGTAGGGTCACAGCACGTCCTCGCTGTTATGAAAGCTTCCTGCGTCCTGACCCAAGCATGTCGCGCCAGCCAAGAGCACGCCCATTACCATCGCCGTCCCAGCCCCCAACAAGCCCAACGCCTGTCAGGTTCATGCGCCAGCGAGGCTTCTACAAACGGGACCTCGCCTTCGTTGTGTATCTCTCTGTGAGCTGCGCACTCTGTACGGCGCAGGTGGGCACCGACGCCATGCTCTTAGGCAGCTGGGCATCCCCACCAGCGCCCCCGCTACCCCACCAGCATTCCGGGCGCGGATGCAAGATCCTGGATGTGGGCACCGGCACCGGCGTGCTAGCTCTCATGATGGCGCAGAAGACTACAGCAGTGGCAGCAGCGGCGGCGCCGGCAGCATCTGCCTTTCTCGCAGCCGATGCAACTGCCGGCATCGGGCCGCCAATGGCAGCCGCCGCAGGAGATTGTCAGCTGAGCGGTGACTACAGCCAAAGCGGCTGTAGCAGTGGCGATGGCAGCAGCAGCAATAAACGCGGCGATGGGAACGCCGGTAGCGTGCGCATCGTCGCGATTGATGTGGACGCGGACGCATGTGCTCAGGCGGCAGAGAACGTGGTGCTGAGTCCCTGGGCGGACCGGATTCGTGTAGTCCACTGCAGTTTGCAACAGCTGGTAGCAGCAGCCGCGGCAGCAGCAGCGGCGCGGCCGCCGCCACAGGCCCCGCCGAAGGGGACGGTGGCTGCAGTGACAACACCCGTGGCGGCGGCGGCAACGTCAGCTCCCCAGTCAATAGAGAGTACGGCTGCGAGGAGCTGCGGAAACCTGTTTGTAGAAGAGGGGAGAGAAGGAAAGGAGCCGAATGAGCCGGGAGAAGCTTCTTTCCAGCATCAAGCAGAATTCCCTGCCGTAGAGGACTTGGGTCCTTTCGATCTGATCATTACCAATCCTCCGTACTTTGTCGAGAGCAGCAAGCCAGCGGCGGTGTGTTTGTGCGTTTATTTGTGGAGTGGGGGGGGAGGGTGAAGGGGTTCGTCCTACCGGCCACCTTGAGGGCGCCACCATAGTCCACCATCCCCGCAGCAGCGCCATTACTTAACATTTACGATTACCATTAGCGGCGCACGACCCACCACCACCACTATTGCAATCACTTATATGAATACCGTTCGTCGGTGCATTTTAAGCTGCAGCCCCATCCACAAGGACGGCTTCATGGTGAGCGGTGGTAAAATTAAGGCATGGAACACAAACAAACTCCCACGTACACACGCCCACAGACGTACATACACTCGCACACACGGTTACCTGCGCTAGTTCGTGGCGAAGATGCGTCCCACAGGATTCGATCAGAGTACCTTGTTGCGTGTGTGTGTGTGTGTTAAGTGATTCCACCTCGAGCTAATGTGCTGATGCTCGTGCCCCTTCCCCCAATTCCACCGCAGGGTCGGGCCTCCGCTCGTGCTGCCGCGCGACACGCTGACGTGTCACTGCCCTTCAGTGACCTGGCCGCTGGCTGCGCCGCGCTGCTGGCGCCCGGCGGCAGCGTGTGTGTCGTACTGCCGCCGACGGAGGCGCAGCAGTTTGTGTGTGCCGCCGAGCCGTGCGGGCTCCAGCTGGTGGGTGGCTGACGAGGGTTGTCTTAATCTTTGGTTCTCTCTTCATGAACTGGGTTGACCCGGGCAACTGGGTGGCTGTAACGTGGTGGAAAGGTACCGAGGCCCCATTGAAAGCCTGCATACGCGAACGGAAAACCCTGCGGCGGCTGCCGATGCATGCTGTCACCGCCGCTGCCGCCTATTCCTTCCACATTGTAACTACGCTAAATTGCTCCACCTGGCGCACCCGCACCCACCTGCATGGGGCCCCAACCCTGGTGCTCGCCCTCCCTCCCTCCCTCCGGCCGCCACTGCTCCCTGCCCCTGTCCAGGTAGACCTGGTTCGTGTATTCACGGCGCCTGAGGACGCCACGGAGCGGCGGCACTTGATGAGGTTGCAACGAGGTGCGCTGGTGGCGTGATTGTATGTACGTATGTATGTGTAGTCGTGGGCTGGGGAAGGGGGAAGGGGACGGGAGAGGGAGGAGAGGCCGGGAGAGCGAGCGGACGCGGATGGGAAACACACTGGGACGCAGGGGGGGAGAGAGAGAGGGGGGAGCAGAGGCACGCAGGTTGGGTGCTTGGTACCTTTCGTGGTCAGATTCGTTGCTTCATCAACGTATCTGAACCTTGCGTGACTCCGCCGCCGCTTTGCCGCCCCACCCTCTCCACTCCCCAACTTGCGCCGCCGCAGCGGCTGACCTGCGATGCAGTCTTCCCACAGTCTCCGAAACTGGCACACCTTCATCCGGCTTCCCCGCTGCATCCACGTCCACGCTGGTGATCAACGGGCCCAAGCAGCCTTACGTGCTACCACCGCCACCACCACCGCCATCGCCATTGCAAGATCTGGCTGCGCGAAGTGAACTGCTTAACGAGCGGCCACCCTTACAGGCGCGGCAGCAGCAACAGCTCCGGGAGGACCCCCGAGCCCCCGACCACCAGGTGCCTGAGCGGGTACCGGCTGAGGCCACGGAGGAAGTCGGCAGGAGCCGGCGGCGGCGTGCCGCACCGCCTCGCGCCATGACAGGCCCCTCGCGGCGACTGTTCACGGACGCCTACCTAGCCCTCACCGCGGACTTCCACCACCCAGCCTTCCTGCAGCAAATGATGAACCCGGCACAAGCAGTAGGGGCGGAGGTACGGGCGGAGGCAGCGCCCAATGCAGCGGCTACTGCTGCCGACCGTATTGGTGCCACGTTCAGCACCACATCATGCATCAGTACCGGCACACCTACCCACGCCGACGCCAACGTCGGCTTCATCGCGACCGCCGCAGCTTCATCCTAGTATATGGGCAGCTGCCTCGGTTTGGTCTCTGTAAACCAGCAGCCTCTACAACACCAGCCCTTGGGGTTGGGGGTTGGGTTCAGGAAGGAGCGCGGCCTGCACGTGAATCTGAAGAGCTCTGGGCGATTTACGCCCTAAGTCAGTTCGCAGATTGGGAACGGGAGCAGGTACAGCAGCGGCGTTCATTCGGACGCACCCGTAAAGCGACGGGTCGGTGAAGCGATTGGAGCAGCAGGCAGGCAGGGCAGCATGCGGAGAGAGGTGATATGAGATGTTGCAGTGAAGCCGGCTGAGGGTCCCTGCAGCGGCTGCTACTGCTCCGCCTGCTTCTTCTTTTGATCCTGTGTGGCGAGCGTTGAAGGTCTCGTGGAGGGACAAAGGAAGTTAAGGTCTTTGAAGCCCTGTCGACAAACGGCCAGGTGGTTCAAGGTTACCCTTCAGCGGCTTCCACACGGCCGCTAATGGATCTTGTGGGGCTGGTAAGCGTTTTTATGAAGCTCAACCGCTAAGAGGGCAGGAGTAACGTATAGAATGTGCGTATGGATCATTTTAGCAGAAGGCCTATTGGGTGGCTGGATCAAGGTGGTGGTGCTCGGATAGGAGGAGAATAACTGGCAGGGCGGTGCAGGAGCACTGCCGCCACTGCGAGTCAGTGCCCCAGCTACGTGCTGGGTGCAGGCCCCGCTGTCCTCGTTATATGAAAGGCGGAAGGGGGCATTCAGCTGTGGGCCAGAGGCTGATGGCGATGCCCGCAACCTATACTTTTATACTTTATTATGTTGCCAGACGCCTCACTCCTGATTGGTGCGTTACCCCACTTTGCTTGATACTAATTGTCATATTGCTGTTCATGCTAATGCCACTGCTGCAGAGGCGCAGGGGGCGACTGGTGCAGGGGCACGCCGCAGTTGTGATGGTGCTGCCCAGCCTGGTGGAAAGAGGAAAGCGTCTGGACCTGGTCTCGCAGCGCCTCTTCTGTCACGGGCCGCCGTTGACCTCTGTGCCGCCACTGCGGCAGTGCGTACCGGAGTCTGCTACTCGGGAGTCTGCTGCGTCGGTTTCTCAAGGTGTCGCCACGGCTTGCGGCTCGCGGCAGGCAGAATCAAGGGGCTCGGCGGGATCGTGGATACATGCTGCATCCGAGCCTGACCTAGATGATTGGACAAGCGCGCTACGTCCAGGAAGGCGGGAAAGGGGCTACGGGCTGCATCTTGGTTATGCCAGTTGGGTCAGGGGAAGCTGGGCTTTACCAGCCTGACAGCTGTGAATGCTGCAAGACCACCTGCTGCAGCCTTGAAGAGGGCATAGCTGCTCTATGCTCAGATGTGTAGGGGGAGCTGGTAGACGCAAGCTCCCTGGCGGGAACGGGCGAGGAAGAAGAAGGGAAAGCGGGCGCGAAAGACAGGGAGGGGGACGGGGACCCTCCAGCCGGAAAGACTCGCACGGGTGGAGCGGGTTTCGTGAGGAGAAAATCGCTCTTACGGGAGTGTCCGGTTATAGGCTTATGCGCGGTCGTGTAGGCTTTGGGGCTGGCTGGACTGAGATGGTCTGGAAAAGTTTGTGCGGGCACCGCAACCACCTGCATGGGGTTGCCCACCATCCAGGGTCGTGCGTTCGACGATCGTATCCGTGGGGCACCCACGACCTGTGATAGCGAGATGTGCAGCTCATGGTTTTGGCGGACGGGGCCAGGGAGAGACGACACTGTGTGGGGGTCCTGAGGGGTGTTTTGTTTATGATAATGTGCACAGATACACAGATTGTGTATGGAGTCGCGGGAGGAAGTTCTACCATTACATGGCCCCCCAGTGGAGCGACACTAGGACATCTCGAGCTGGGTTGCTAGAAAAGGCCTTGTAAGCTAGCCCTTGCTCGGATACCGAGATCCTACGAGGTTGCTCCTTGGGTAGGACTTAGTATGTTTTGGGGCGAGGATGCCATGCCAACCTTAGCCCTTGCAGACAATACTGCTATCATGTAACACAAAATCTTATGCATAGGAGTATAATGGTATAAATATGATTATGGACCATCACAAACAAGGTCGTAAACCCTTGAGTGTGGGTTTGGCTTGAGCGCACACCATTGCAAATTCATGATGCATGACACGCATATAGCAACCCTTCTTCACATCATGAACATCCCGGATAAGGACAAAGACGTGAGAGAGTACAATCCGCAAAGCGTTGTCAGATCGCCATGGCGCGTACGGCACAGCCTTCGTCGCCGGTCGCCCTTTCCCTTTTACAGAGGCTGTGTTATGGCATCTATCAGCCCAGACTGTATGATAACACCATATATATACTGACGATTGTAAAACATATACATTTCGCGACATCACCGCAGGAGTCGTGTGGCCGGCAAAGACTGTTATCGTCTTAGCCGGCTTTACAAATGTGCTCTACGCAACGCTGCTGTTCGCAATGTGATGGCATTTATCGAGGAGGACAGCAGTTTAATGGACAAGTCCACCCAAGGTATCTGCAAACGACGTCTTCATCCATGCAGAACGCCTGCATCAGTCTCTTAAGCATCAACCAAGCAATATTTTCTACTTGACGATGGCGCTTCATTCCGTTCTGGGGATGGGGTTACGTCGGGACCTCCCTTCCGCTCGCAATGGCGCACGAACTTCCTTCTGGAGCCAAAGGATAATCAGCCTTCGCATAGGCAACGAGCAAAACACGAACCAAGGCTGGGAGAGAACAAAGAAGCAAAAGCGGTCGTACAGCTTGGCGTGGGTGCTTTTATATGGGCCCATATGGGCCTAACGTACCACCCCAGCTCTCGCGCTCACCGCCTCCGCTGAGCCGCCACCTAGACGCCGCCTCCTGAAATTGCGTTTTTTCCACCCTGGCCCCCGGCCTCCGCGGTGTCCGTGGAGGCCTGGCGCGGCCGAGAATGGACCCGACCATGGCCGCGCCCCGCGTAGCTCGCCGCATTAAGTTTAGGCTTGATGACGGCTCCTTGATAGCTGACTCAAACCTTTTAGGTGTGGACGGAAACGGCATCGTGCGTGTTGCTGTGGAGAGGTCCGTTGTTGACAGAAATCTAGCCTCAGAGAAAGATCTCGAGCGCCTCCAGCGGCTGCTCTCGCACCCCGAGCTGCCACAACTGCCTCAGCAGAATGGAGGCTATGATGTAAGGCTAGCATCCTTCCGAACTGCGTGATTACCGAGGTGCTGAACAGGTGTTGACCAGCGCACCTTAACGCATCTTCCTCAGGCACCGCCGACGAAGAAGGCGCGGCTGGAAGCGCGGCCAAGCCTCAGCGTTGGAGGTGAGTGCTCGTGTATTAGAAAGCCAACAGTGGCAAGCGCTTACGCGTAAAGTCCTTTTGCCCGCGGTCCGCAGCAACCGATTGGGTGGCCAAGTGCCGGGAGCTCATTCAGCAGGTCATTAAAGGGCTCAAGAATGATGCGGCCATTTTCATGAACCGCGTCAACGAGAAGGAGGTGCCCGACTACTACACGGTTGTGAAGAACCCGATATGGATCAACCTAATCATTGAGAAGCTCGACCGGGGCGAGTACCCGACTGCACAAGATTTTGCCGAGGATGTTCGGCTGATGTGGTCAAATTGCATGCTCTACAACCCGGTGAACACCCCGGTGCGCGTCATTGGCGAAAAGGCCGAAAAGCGCTGGCGCAACGAGTGGGCCAACTCGGGTCTTGCGAGCGAGCGCACGAAACGGGCAACTGCTGGGGTTGCAGCGCCTAAGTATGACCCCGATTTTGAGCCCCCGGCGCCGAAGGTGACTACGGACCGGCCCACGAGAAGTGGCAATGCGCAGAAGCGGCAGCCACCTGCAGCGCCGGCAGCAGCCCCTAGCAGGGTGAGTTATTGTCATTAGTGCGCCATGAGCAGCAGAGTACCAATATATCCGTCTGAAGTCGTCGTGAGCTCTGCAAAGTGCAAAGTGGTTGCGCGACATGTAGCGCTTGCTTTGCCGGACACCTGGGCTAGATGTCTCGGCATACCATAGAGCTAAGCGTTGCTATCTAAGAATTGCGGAAGTATTTGTGTTTCGTCCTCGTAATGTTCCGCAAACCATTTCTACGCGCCGTACACCCACAGGGTGCGAACGGGGGGCGAGCTTACAGCCATGAGGTAACGTCGGGTGGGAAAGGGCGAGAAAAGGCCTTGACGAATGAGCGACGGAACCAGATTGCTACCGAGCTGCAGAACGCGTTTGGAGAGCTATCAGAAGATCAGCTGAACGGTAGGTGGTCGTATGGCTCCTCATGTTACCCCCGAGGTTTCGGTTTCTACAGTCACGCTATTATGCAAGCCTTTCGGGGACGGTACTACTTCTGCATGTATGTCGTACGATAAGCTTTTGTGTCTGCGGTTGCATTTTCAACGCAGAGCTCATGGGGCTGTTGCCGTCGGAGGCCATGCAGCCTGACGAGTCGGGCGAAATGGAGCTGGACTTTGAGGCCCTCGACGATGCCAACCTGCGAAAGCTCGAAGCTTGGCTGCGGAATGTGCGGGGGCAAGGACCTGTCTCGCCGTCACACATTTCGCACAACCCCAGCGTCCGTTTGGAGGCGGCCGATGTGGATGACGAGGTGGGTTTGTAATTGTTGTGGTCTTGGAGTCGTGTCACTATGAAGGCTGCGCGTATTTTCCTTGCCGGGGCAGATTGCGCAATTTGTGGGGTCCTTGGCACATAACGGAGGGTTGAATCGGGAATTTGAACTGCAAATGGCATCTCTGACGTTAACACCCACGTCATTTTGTGTCGCTGAATATATGGGTTATAACTTGTCCCGTATTTCTTTTCTTTCCCTTTTTGCAGGACTACCATAGCGATTGAGGCCGAGTCCAGCCCAATTTTGTTGTCTTGCACGATAGCATCTGCTGTACATTTACTTGCAGCAACTAGACATTTCTATGCTGTCGTGTGCTGATTTGCACCTTGACTTCAGGGCAGGAACATGCATGGACTTATGACCGCACATGTCACTCGTATCACTGATGTTTTGACATATGACTTTGACGCTCTGGGTAGAACTAATGCGCTCGGATATCTCCCGAGTAGTCTAACCTGCTTGTACAAGGGTGGGGGTTTTAACCGCTGCGGGTGTGCTATGAATGACTGGTTGGGCTGTTGACGGCGCTGGACCCGCTGCATATAAGCACTGTCCACAGCCCAATCTGCGTTTGTCATATACTCGTAAAGGTACATGTGCAGGCGAGCTGATGCCGCTTGTATTTGCGGTTCTAACGTAGTAACGGCTTGTTGAAACCGTGGAGCATGCTGGATGGATGCTTTGACCAGGAGGATGAGCGAATGAGCGACCAATTTAAGATGGAATGCGAGCTAGTGTCGTTTGGGTGCATTTGAGTGTCCCCTGTTGTGGACAGCTAATATGCTGTTGCGCCGCCCGTATATGGTGATCTCGAAACACGTTGACATTGAACAGGGACTAGGTGCTCAATGCATTCATTGTAAGGCTCCAAGCAGGGGTAATTCGATTTTTTTCCGAGCAAGGCTGTAGGGTTAGTTGTACTGCTGTACAGTTCTATGCCTGCTAGGTTAGCTGCATAACGTGCGCTTCTTATGCGTGCCCGTTTCAACAAGAACCTGAAGCCGTAGGCTGAACTGCCAGAGTAAAATCCTGTGGAATGCACTAAGAACAGAAGTAATTGAGACCCAATTTGTAGCAAAGCTCATGACCTCAAAAGCCTAAACCGACTATGGGAGGAACAAATAGCCTTTCTGACGCAATCAGCAGTGTACCACAGCTGATCAGGTTCCTGAGCAAAGCCATTAACCTGAGGCTGGTCTGTCGGTCTTGTCGGGACGTATATGATGCCAACTGTACCGATATTGCAGTCCGCTGCCGACAGCTCGTAAGCCTGACTGGTGAAGAGATAGCGAGGGCGGTCATGTCGAAAGCGTTTCGTGACATCTATGCACGCGGCGGTCGACCTACGACACTACGCATGGACCTTTTCGGCGACATGTCAGAAGAATTTATGTGAGTAAGAGGACGAACTCCAAGTGATAACAGTGTTCGTCCTCAGGAGTTCATCCTCCAAGAGGATAACTCCAAGTGATAACTGGCCGGTTTCATTTCTCATGGTTTCGGTGCTGACAGCTTGCCTTTGGACCCTTTTCCATACTCATTTCCGCCTTACACAGCACATGCAAACGACTCTTTCCACCCTCGATTGCTAAACGCACCAGGATCGATGTCATCCTCAGCCCGCTTGCGCCCTCCATCACGCATCTCCATCTCCGTGGCCCAGTCAACTCCTTTCCCACCGCAACAGGGGCATATCGCATTGCGGGCAGGATGCCTGCACTATCGGCGCTACACCTGGCGCTTTGCGCGCCTCAGCACTCCCACCTTGCTGCAGAGCAATCCCACTGCCCCAGTTCCAATGAACAGGCGGAGCCACGAAGCGGAGTCGCAGTGGCGCCACAGGCAGCATTGACTGCGACTGCAGCGGGAAACGTGCTGAAAGCCCTGGGCCCAAAGCTCCGTACGCTCAGCTTGGATCTAAATTTTGATATGGACCTTGAAGCTGTCCCTAAGCGCCAGTCCGGCACCGACACCCCGCCTGAGGACACCTCCACGCCTTGTCCCGTATCGATGCGGCATCCGATGCCGCAAGTGTCGCGGGCCAAAGAGGAAGAGCAGCTGGAGCACTTGAGGCAGCAGCTGCAGCTACATCATCAGCAGCAGCTACAACAACAGCAACAACAGCAACAGCAGCAGCTACAGCAACAGCAACAGCGTTCCAGAACGTTCGCAGCGGCCGGGCTTTGCCTCGACGTCATCACCTCCCTCGTTAATTTGACTTCCCTGGAGCTCCGTCTGCCCGGCTTAGCGCACCAACCTGAGTGGGCCGATAACCTGTATGCACTGGCGGCCCTCTCCGGCCTCACAAAGCTCGTCCTGCCGATCTGGGGAAGGTCGGGGTTTGGAGGTGACATGAGCCACTCTCCACCGAAGAGCTCGCATCTGGTGTACGGCGCAGCCGTACACAGGCTTCTCCGCTGCCTTTGCCGTACACCGGCCACGGCACCGGTGGCTTGCCTCGTGGAGCTGGACTTGGGAGCAGACCTTGCACTTACATTGCCGTACTTGCCGTACCACGCGTCGGCACTGGCGCGGCTGAGCGTCGGTGAGCTGTCGGCGGAGTGCGCGGGGCCAAGTCAGTGGGATGTCGTTCCGGAGCAGCCGCCGCCAGTGCCCCTGGGGCTATTGTCGGAGGTTCCACCAGAGTTCTTTGAACCGACGACCGCCGGCGACGGAGGTGGCGGCAGTGATGGCTGCTGGGGGCGGCCGCTGTGCTCCCTGCCGCTCTGTGCGGTGCGGCTTCCATCGCGACTACGAGCGCTTCAGGTGGGTCGCTTCAGGTGTTGGCTTAGGCCGCTAGTGCTATGGCTTAGGCCAGAAGTGTATCGGGAAGCCACGTGGAAAGGTACGACAGCCGTTAGCTCCCTGCCGCGCGTCCACGTTATTGCACCAGCAGCCGGCAAGGGAGGAATCGGGCGACCAGTAGTGGCTGTGGCTGTAGCTGCAGCGTTTTGACAGATGTGTGCGGTGGTCGGGGGATTGTCCTGTGGACTCTATATATCGCCGCTGCAATCACGCCTCTTTCTGTCACCTCTCCCGTCACTTCCCTTGTCCATTCATTGCTTTACAGTGCGAACCGCACAAAATCGCCCTTAGACCCGTCCAGTCGTCCCTCGACCCTTCCTAAACCTGTCGTTCCCAAACCGCAACCACCATCACTGTCGTCATTCCACCGACATCCACCCCAGGTTCGCTACATGCCCGACGTCGCGATCTTGGCAGCCCTCGCCGCGTTACCCGCCTTCTCTACCCTAGATTGCACGGCCGTACGACACCCTCAAGGAGAGATCTGTCTCGACCTTGCATCTGTCGGCCTACCTGGTCCGCCAGAACTTGGCGGAGGCGGCGCCGTCGCAACGTTGCTTGTCGACATGGTGGCGGCGGCGGCAAGACTGCTATTGCGGGTGCTGACAGAGGCGGACTGGCGGAGGCACCCGCTGACGCTGCGGCCGTCCCCGTTTTCCTTTCTGCGTGATAGCTACAGCCGACTGCGCTGGGCTGGGCCGCACGCGCCTTGGATGGCGGCTGTAGCGCCCCTGGGGGCTCAGGTGAGAGCGGAGAAGAGGTGCGATTAGTCATGGGGTTGCAACTTATACGTGCACCGAAACCCCAAACCGACCCAGAGCTGCCCAAACACATACGGCCATTGTTATTCGTACACCCCATGGTTCCATTGCCGTACATGGTTCATGACGCATGCGACGCTACACCCTCCCGCCCTCTCCCTCACTGCTCTCTCCTGCACACGGTTTGGAGCGCGGCGGCAGGTGAGGCGGTTGCAGCTGAAGCAGATGGCGCTACAGCGGCGGGACGTGCTCGTGCTGGCAGCGGCCCTTCCGGGGCTGCAGGTGTGACTCGAGGGTGGTTTGAAGTGGGGGTTAAGGGTTAAAGGGGGAGGGAAGAAAACCAAGGGGATAGCGGGTCCCGGGGGCTGGGGCTGAGTGCTGTCGCCCAACGGTAGAAAGGGCAGGGTGGGTTCACGCAAGGTTGAAGCGCTACTTAGAAACTGCCGGAATACCATTTATGTCGATGCGCACGTGCACTCTGTTCCCAGCTGTCTAACGCGATAATCAACCGCTAACGGTGCAACGGGCATTCCATAAAAGCAGCAGCACGCAGCAGCAGCACAGCCGTCACCGCCAACACCGGCAAGATAGCGCTGCTCAGTAGTCGTCATCCTCTGATACGCGTTCTTTGGCTTTCCAAGCCACATGCTTCCCCTTCCGGCTCCCCCTGACCGCGCGGTATTTGCATGGATGACCCGGCGTGGATGTACGGTGCACGTTCTACGAAATATTGCATTTCGTGGCAGTCGCTGGAGCTGGTTCGGTGCAGCGCCCGCCGCTCAGGCTTGAGGGTGTGGCGAGCAGAACTTGGCCCCACTGTGCATTTGGAGAGTACGGGTGCGGACCTTGAAGATTATGAGGACATGTTTGGCAGCAGCAGCAGCAGCAGTAGTTGTGACTATAATAGTAACAGCAGTAGCTATCGGAGGTAGAAGTAATTGCAGTAGTGGTGGAAGCATGGATGGCACTGGTGGGAATAGCAGCAGCAGCAGCAGGTGCCAGGGGGCCATGATTAAGGGGAGGAAGGCTCCAGGACTGGAGTCAAGGAAGGCGCCCGCGTCCGCGTGTGTGTGTTTGTGTGTGTGTATGTGTGTGTGTATTTCTTTTCTCCCGGACCACGTCGAGGGCGAGGTTATTTGTTTGGTTAGATGGGGGTTGGGTATGCGCTGCGGCGCAGTAATGAAGCACATCGGAAAGGGGAAGCAGGAATCAAGAGCCATGGCTGCGCGTCCTTTTCTTTGGCCCTTTTCTTGTGATGTCTCAATGAAAAGATTAAACAAGATGGGCGAGTGAGCTATGCCGTGTCTTTCCATGCCGGGCACTGTCGGGTTGCTGCTGTTGCATTCGTCGTACTCGGGTGCTGGGGCTACTCGGTTGTGACTTGAGCGCTCCAAGAGCAAGCGTGTTCTCTATTGGTCCTGACCTCTATTTTAGTTGTCGTACATATAAATGCTTTTCCTCCACCGTGAAACTGTTTACTGCCTCCAAGTGCCATAAGGCCCTCATGTGGCCGAAGCTTCAACCTCCCAAAGTGGGAATCAATGCACCGAACAATCATGTGACCTATCCTTTGCCACCACTCGAGGCTTCAGAGTGAAACCCAGCAGTGCGCAGCGAGCATCCGTAGACGGCACCTGCGTAGAGGGGTAGCGCACGACACCCATCCCTGGTGCACCTCGCAATTCTCGTGAAGGTTGTACACTCTCCCGATTACCATAAAACGCGAAACGCGGCGCAATGCGCGCGCACGTGCACTGAAGATTTGAACATGCCATGAACACTCCTAGCACTCCCCCATGCCGAAGCTTAAGATACTTATGTATCTTTGATAATTTTAAACAGTTCATAACCGTTCCGTTTCATAACCCCTGCCGACCAAGCAGATCCGTCCCAGCTCTCAACACCGGTCAATAACATTTCCTGTCCAGGACTTCTCAATGCCAAACCATTCCTGGCATGTGAGCCTCGATACCTGCCTCCCTGTCGTCTGCAGTGCACTTTAAAAAAGCCTTGCTACGAAGAAAAGCAAACAAGCCGTCCTGCTGCTGCCGCCCGCAACTCCTCAGCATAGTCGTGCAGCAAAATTACCAAGGCCTGAGAATATCCACTCGCGGATGCCTGTTGGGCCGGATTGAGATCAATCATTCTACTCGAGCTCTGGTGGCGAATATACGCAGCACCAGCTTCAGCCCGCCCGGCAAGACCACGGTGTTGCGGACTCCTATTGTATCGATTTCCTCGAATATAGTTCGGACAGCCCTCGGCCACCTCACGGCCTTCGGGGCCCTCTCGGCTACACCTTTAGAGGGTAACGCAATTCAAGGCGTAACACACACATATTTGGAGAGCCTTTGGCGGATCTTTACGGATCTGGATTACCATTAATTCATCAAAACCAAATCAACTCAGCTCCTTGAGCTGGGCCGCTCTTCACGCATGTCATGAGGGTCCTCCGCCGTCGCCTCCTTCAGTCGCTGCTGTTGGGCTTCATCACCGTCGTCATTGACATTGGCCATATGCGTCTCCTCTGACGCCAGTGCCGCCAGCACCTCCGTCGCCACCTCCGAAGCGGCAGACAGCGTCGCCCGACATCGCGCCACCAGCAAGTCGCGTTCATAAACGTACGGTTTCCGCGACAGCGCCGCCGACAGCGGACCCACGCCAGCAGCCGCCGCCGCCTCCCTCTCCCTCTCCGTGCAGCCTCTCAGTGTGTCATCGGCCGCTGCCACCGAGTGGCCTGTGGCTAGGGCAGCCAAGCCGCTCTGTATCCCTGGGTGAGCACCCAGTAACCTCCGACCCATGGGTCCGCAACCACACGCCAGCGCATAAAGCACCTGCACGAAACCACGGACACCGCCCGTCGGGACCGGTCACTTACGTTCAGCCAAACCACACACATTCGTACTTTTCTTAACGGCCTTTCATTGACACACAGACACGCACAACAATAACTTGTCGGCCCTTACCAACACACATACATAAACATAAACATATACACGAGGCCCCTTCCACAAGCTTGGTTCAGGAACAACACAACGGGTCGCACGCACGAGCGCACCTCCACCGCCGCCGCGACTGCATCGGACCGCCGCTGCGCCTGCAGCAGTTCCAGCCTCTGGCAGGCGCCGCTGCCGCTGCCGTTACCGCCATTCTCCTCCCCATCTTTCCCCACCGCTGCTTCGGCCGCTCCAAGGACGCCTGCAGGTAGAGCCCCAGACACCATCCTCACCGGTCCTTCTCCAATTGTCGTTGTCGCTGCAGCTGCCGCCTCTCGTCGTACCTCCTCTGCCGCCGCGGCGGGCGACAGGGTCAGCAGCTCTTGCAGCGCATCCAGAGGTGCACGCTCCCCGCATCCGCTCCCCAATCCTGAAGCCGATGCTGCTGCTGCTAATGATGATGCTGATGTTGTGGCCATAGCCACCGTCGGCGCAGTACTGGTGGTGGTGGCGGTAGTGGCGGTAGTGGCCGTGGCCGTGATGATGGTAGGAGTAGCAAGTGGAGCCAATGCCGGCGGCTGGCTGGGCGGTGGAAGGAGAGCCTGCAGGACAACCTCCTTGTTGACTGGGTTGGCCAGCCACGCTGCGAGCAGACCTGTACGGCGAACAGAACGGACAACCGAATGGCGCTGGCCGTTTCTGCGGTGGTAGTGGCTGCAGCGAGGGGTTTCTAGTGGTGGGTGTGTATTGGTATACGATGGGTATGAGTGTGGAGGTAATGGTGTTGACGACCGCTGCGGCGGCAGTGGTGGTGCCGGTGCATAGTGACGACTGTTGGGCCGCATTAAGAAGTGGCGTCTGCAGCAGTGTTCCGCTCTCAGCAGCCGCACAGCGCCGCGGGTCCGAGTGAGGCGCCTCGTCGCTGGCGTCAGGTCCCTGGACTGGGCGACACCAACCCCTCAACAAGCAGCAAGGACGTGCCCCGTCTCCAACTCTACCCATGTGTTTCCCCCCTCTCAAAAAGCCGTTCGGGGGTATGCCTGCAAGGGATACCCCGCCCAAGGGTCCCGCAGTGTACCGCTTCCCCCCTTCTCCCCTCATTCCATTACACGTCACACACACAAACATACACACAGCGCCACCCCGACAGCCCAGCCCGACACACCCGCCGCCAGTGTCCTCAACTGCAGAGGTACGTGTGCGCCTCGGTCTCTTCCTCCTCCTCCTCCTCCCCCTCCGGCCGTCAGTAACGACATAACGCATTGGAGCAGAGGCCGCGGTCGCGGAAGTGTCCGCAGAAGTTTCGGCTGCGTCGTCGCCGTCGTCGTCGCCGCCGCCGCTGATCGCGGGCTACAAGCCTCAAGCTGCGACACCTGCTGCCCCTGGCGGTGCTCCGGCTGAACCGCCTGCTCTTGGTGCGTTTGGCGGTGTTCCCGCTCATGATCGTGTTGGGGCTGCTGCTTAGACGGCATCACCTCTTTCTCCTCTTCCTCCTCCCCCAGCTCCATTGCTGCAGCATCTGGTAGACGCAAGCAGTGCGGAAGAGCGGTGAGGAGCTCCAATAAGGAGGAAACCAGGTCGTGAAGGAGGAGGACGGGGACGTTGGCGGCATCGGCGTTGACTGCGGTGCTGGCAACGGCGTTTTCAGGAGCAGCCGCGCCAGCGGCGGTCCGGTGTTCCCTCCTCAGCACGACCTGGCAGCCACGGGTGGATGAGGCAGCGATCATGTGTTTGGGGCGAGTGGAAAGTGTACAGGCCGTACATGACGCCAGCGTGGCGGAAGGGGGCTGCGAAGAGGGAAGAGGAAAAAAGGAGGCTGACGGCCTAGCGGGCCGCGAGCTCAGCAGGTTTCCTTTCCTCTGCAGGGGACTGCTCCTTCATGCCGCGTAGGCTCGGGCGGGCTATAAACGAGTATTGCATGGCGCTGCTAACAGGGTCATGTGTGCGACCGGAGGTGTACGGAACGTACGGAAACGTTTCTAGGTACGGACTGTACGGTGCAGCACTGAGTGGCCTATTAGCAACGAACAACAGTGAGGATAGGGCCTCGACCTCGACCTCGACATGTTGGAACACGATGGTGACAACGAATTAGCTAACAAGGCGCGCACACACTACTCGCACCGCCCGCGGGAGGCAATGCTTCAGCGGGGTCGCTAAGAGGGGGGAGGCTTCTTCCTTAATAGCGGCGCCGTAGAAGGGCCCAGCTTTGGTGCTTGCCAATCTCGTCGTTACTGCCGCTGCTGTGTGTGTGTGTGTCTTTCCTCCACCGCTGTCATTTGCCAACCGACAGTCCGGCAAAGACCGTCATAATCACCACACAAGCGCCAGAGTGGAAAGAAATGTAACCCCTTGTACGGACAAAAATACAGACCAATCACATACACACCACGGGTGGGCTGCGCCCAGTTAAGCGTCCTTAACCGTGCCGTACCTCCATAGCGCCGGCGCATGTCTCCAGACCACAGCCCCACAGCAGCTGCTCCGGAACCAAGTCAGCCACTGCCAGGTTTCGGAGCACGTTGGCCGCACAGGCCCCCCACATCAGCCTCAGCGGAGGCTTCATCACCGCCGCCTCCGCCTCCGCAACCGCACCCCTAGAGCCGCGCTCTCCTCGCCTGCAGCTGCTTATCGAATCGCGAACTCGCTGCTGCTCCTGGGGCGGCGGCGCATCGGTCCCGGTACCTTTAGACGTACGGCTCAGCAGGACAGCCTCCTGAGAAGCCGCTTCCGGCGTGGCCAGCCCCGGCCCCGTAGCCCCGCACGCATCATCCGGCGCTGTGACGCAATCACCCACCGGGTCGCTACCACCCGTTGAGATGGCTCCTCCGCCTCTGTGATGGCGTTGGGATCGGGGTTGTCTCTCATTGGAATCCATGGCTGCCATAGCCAACCCACCCGACCACTGCTGGTCAGCTGCTGCACCGGCAGCCGCCGCAGCAGCGCCGCCACCAGTAGTGGCAGCCAGCAGCGGCAGTGAACGTGATACCGGCAATGGTGGCCCTTCGTCGGAGGCCCCGGCACCGGTAGCGGTGCTGCTGCCGCCGCGGCAGTCCTCGTCCTCAACAGCGTCCGTGGGCGGGCAGAAGAGCTCTACTGCCGCGCCGATAAGCCGCCATAGCGCACGCACCACACCCAGATGCGCACGCAGCGCCGTACACAGGTCACAGTACGGTTCCGTACACGCCGTACCGGCAAAGTGCTGGTTCTTTACCTCCATCACATTCCTGTCGCCATCACCCGTGCTGGCACTGGTGCTGGTCCCCAAGGTTTGGCCAGCACTCACTGCCGCAATGTCCGACAGGCCTCCTGGGTCGTACATACCGTGCCGTCGGGCAGCGTCTGCCGCCGTCGACGCCAGCGGCGGGCAGCTGCAAGGTCCCTCGCACAAGCCCGCGCATGCGGTAGGGATGGCGACGGCCGCCTTAGATTCACCCCTGCTGCCGTCCACTGGCGACGCGGCTGTCGATGACGCCCCGCCGGCCCCCGCCAGCAGTCCTAGTCGCCCTCCCTCCTTCCCGGCCTGCTGCTGGTCCCCATGTCTATGCTCCTGCGGCCCCGCGGGTCGCGACAGCGGTGGCGCGGTGAAGGACAAAACGGTAAGCGTGTTCAAACCAGCCTCCAGAGCCGCATGGCCGTCATGGCCGCAGAGGTGGCGCTCCAAATTGGTCCACTGCGCCGCCGTCAGCTCGAGCAACTGTGCCGACACCTGAACTCGTTCCAAGTCGTACATGCACAGTAAAAATTACAGCAAATTCACGTCCGTCGTGACAGCAAGGGGACACGCAGAATATTTCGGGAGCATTAGCACGGCAGGTAAGAACGAGCAGTAAGAACGATGGCAACAGATCAGACTCATTATGCACATTGCCTCCCCGAGTTTTCACGAGCACCGACACGTACCAACATTAGCTAAAATGTGCAGCTGTTGAACTGCTTGGGGACAAGACACAATCAATTAACACCACACAAGCAACAACAGCACGTGCAGCAACAATACATGGCAGGAGATGTAGCCGTCCCAGCTAACCATGTCCGGCCGCCAACTCTCGGCCAGCCTCTAGATCTGTCCTTTGCCAGGACTCCCAGGTTCCCTGTCCACTGGTGCGCTCACCTGTGCCCCTCCCTGGAGCAACTGCAGTGCGGTGGCGCCTCCCCCCGGCCCCTGGGAGTGCATTGTTGGGAAGTTGAGGGGGAACCAAGTTCGTGGGTTACGCGCGTTTATACATTACGCGATTTGCAATACAACGTAACCTGTAGAATGACAACAGGTCGCGACAGACAGAGGAAGTATACGCGCATATTCGTGCAAAATGCGTGAACCAGAATGTTTTGACGTAAGCGGTGCTTCCTCCAAATACCCCTCCACCAAACGCACCGCTGCTACTTCAGCGATATGCACCCCTGCGGCGGCGGCGGGGGAGAATTCGTCGTCGGCACCTGTGGTCGATGCTCCACGGGGGCGTTTCTTTTGCCCCGCATGGGGGATAAGACTCCGGCGACGGCGGTGCTGTGGCTCTGTTGCACCCTCCGGCGGCGGCCCGCCCGCCGGGAGCTGGCATCGGAGGACTTCAGGCAGGGCAACATTGTGCGACAGCGCCTGCAGCGGGGTTGACCGCGGTGCTGGCAACGGTGATGCCGCTACCGGCTGGCGCAGGCCCCCCAATCGCCGTGCTGGCGCCTCCCGAGCGCCTGTTGATGCCGGTATATCTAAGCGCGCCTTCTTAAGCGGCGGCGATACCAGCTGTGCGAGCTCCCTCTCCACGCCGCTCGCCACCGCCGCTGCTGGAGCTCCCCCTTCTGTTCCCCCACAGCCCCGCCCTGGTTGCTGTTCCTTACGGTTCCCTCCTTGCTGCTCCACCAGCGGCTGTTCCTCCTTTTCCGGCAGCAGCCACTGCACCTGCTTCTTCACCCGCGGCCTTGTCCCCGGGGTGTCCTCGGCTTTGAGTTTCAAAGCTGTGGGGGCGGTGCCGTCGCAGAGTGCTGGCTTTCGAGGCACGGGCGGCAGCCATTGAATGTGGACCGGAGGCGTCACCGGCGTGTCGCTGCGTTCGGGACTAGGGGAGGCGGCGATGCTGCTGCGTTTCCCTGCAAGATGGCCGCCACTGCCACTGCTGCTGGCACCCCAGACCGAGGCGAGGCGACCCGGCGACGGCCCAGTGGCGGGACGAGCCGCTGCTCCCACTGCGCCGGTGGGAATTCCCAAGCTACCTCCACGGGACGCACGTCCGACGGCGGCATCAATGGCGGCTGGAACATCCCCATCCGGCGCGGTGGCGCAGCGCGGCGCGGTGGTGGCGCCAGTGTCAGGTGCGGGAGACGAGTCGGCATCAAAGGAGTGACGGCTCACAGAGCGTAGCGGCAGGACGCCCGGCCCGGCGCTACTCGTTAGGGAGCCTGGGCGGGAGCTGGGGGAAGGGGCTGCGAAGGCGGGCTTGAGCTGGGGGAGCGAGGACCTGCTGGTGCCGGCGGCGGCGCCAGTGCCCAGGCACATGCCAAGGCCCAGGAGCCGGGGCTGGGCTGCAGTTGAGCTCCTTCCACGTTGGCGGTCCATTGGATCTGTTGCGGTTCCGTAGGGGTCCCGATGCGCGGCATTCAGGAGAACAGTCGAAATAAAGTCTATCTCCAGGCAGCGAAAAGCTTTAATCCAGGATTAACACGCTGAAGTGCTCATGATGCCAAGGCGACCCTTTAAAGCTTCCTAGACTTTCCACTGTCCGAGATGGAACCTTTGCCCTCCTGCGACAGTTGTGGATTTAGGTTATACTATGCCATTTTACAGCAAGGAAATGTTATGGAGGGAAGATTTTAGCGGCATGGAAGCATTGTAAAGGCTGCCTTACTTCAAGCCTTCCTGGCCAACATCTTTGGAAGCCGATTCAGAATGCACATAGTAATTCTCATATCCTGCTTAGGATCGGTAGAATTTTGTCTAACATTCCCGGGTGGTTCATGCCCTGCATGCAGGCAGAATCCAATTTTTCATAGGGCGCGAAGCCGCGAACTGTCAGCTTCCTAACCAAGATCGGCTTCGCGACGCGAAATGGTCATTTGTGTCATACTTTTGTGGAATACACTTTTATCTTTGGTCGAGAAGCTATGCATGGTTAAAAGCGTTGACCTTTCCCGTGGCTGCTGGTGAACATAACCAGCCTCCTTTACTTAACCTGGATTACTGAGCGCTGATAACCGACTAGGTTGCTTAAAAGATAAGCGGAATGCTTGAAGAAGGGAGGCCTTCCCGGGCGGCCAAAGACGCCGTCCTGAACAGCAGGCTAAGGACTGATGGCACTGGCGCTCAGGCGGCCCCTGCAGCGCAGCAGGTTTCCAAACAAGCACGTATCACAGATACGTTTCCTGTGCGCAAGGGCCCTGGTAAGTTAGTTGCGGCTTTCCTTGTGTTGACTGCATAGGGAGGCTACTGGTGCGGTAGAGAGGTGCGTCGCGGCGTTAAGCCTTGAAGTAACAGCCCCAAAACAATGCTGACACATTCGTCCCGCTGTCCCCTTGTGTTTCAACGCAGCTGCACCACACAAAAATGCAAAGACGACCGCAGTTGCCACGCCAGCTCCTAAATCAACGGCCACCGAGCGCACCAAGGCTCGCGCCGCGCGCACCTCTGTGGCCACCCAAGCAGGATCCACCCGCGGCCGCAAGCGGCGAAACCCACCACGGACTGCTACAGATGATGAGAACGACTTGCAGGACGACGACGGTTGGAAACCGCAACAGCAGCAGCAGGAAGTCAAAGAAGTAACAGCAACTGTCGGTGCCATTGCCGTGCGCCGTTCCGGCCGCAAATCGTCCGCACCGCCAAGCACTAGCGCAGTCCCGTTGCGAGGCACTTCTAAGTCCGCAGGTGCCGCCAAGGCGGCTGGGAGATCAGGCAAAGGTGATGTGCCATTACGACGACGCAGTGTCGCCACTGCGCATCGCTTCTTCAGCAGCTGGGAAATTGCTGGCGAGGAATTCCGCGCCGGTGACGACGTGTATGTTGTTGAGACGGATGACTTTGACAAACTGCCTGAAGGCGAGGATGACGAAGAGTGTTGTCTGTGCGGTCGCAACACGGACACCACACGCATGGTGGAGTGCGACCGCTGCCTGCGCGGCTTTCACTTCCGCTGCCTCAAGCCGCCACTGAAGAAACTTCCCGAGGGCGACTGGTTGTGTCCGGACTGTGAGAAAGGCGTGCCGCCGTCGTCGGTCGGCCGCAGCCTCAACACATCCTGCCAGGTGAGGCCCCGCGGGAGAAGGCATCATCATTCATGCCTGCCGGAAGCTTCTAAGTCTTCATGTGCTTAGAGGAAGCATCCTTGTCATCGCCAAACCGCATGGCAACCAGCACGACGAACCGGACAAGGATACTTTCCTAAATCGGTTTGAATGTCATGATTCGAATTCTTTCCTCCCCCTTCCTGCCTGCCTTTACCGCTCGCAGGCTTTTCTGTTCGGGGAGAAGATCCTGGGTCTCGCGCGGGTAACTGGCTGGGAGCGGGACCAGCACGGCGAGGTGCATGTGATTGTGCGGCACTACAAGAAGCCGGAGGAAACACACCTGGGCCGCCAGGTAGACCGCAGGAAGGGCCGCCGCATGGCAGGAAAAGTCACCGGGTCTGGATTCGCTCCGCGCCGGCCGCTTACGAGTTTGCATCTCATCTTGTTGGCCACAGTGCTTTCCAATATCCCTTCCCATTTACTGGGAGGACGCAGGATTTGCGGCACCTATCATCAACAGCTTTTTGCACTTCACTACTCCCTCTCCCCAACCTCCTCTCCTTACTGCAGCAACAGCGCCATCCCCATCCCACTTTCCGCCATATAACGCTTTTTCATCAACTCGCTCACCCATGGCATAATAATTATAGCAATCGGGAATATCTTTTTGTCAGAACCGCACATCACCACATCGGGCATAATCCCTCGAATCGGCGCTCGATCTCTATTCTATCTCGGCTCGCCAGCTAACCTCCACGCGCCGCCGCCGACAAAACAACTCTCACTCGCAACGCCTGCCACAGTCTCACCACCACAGTCGCGAAGTGTTTTTGGGTGTGGTGGAGCACACGGAGCCCGTGGGATGCATCTGGGGCCATGCATACGTCGTGCCCCCCGACCGCTTCGCGAGCACGTCAGGGACTGACGTCTACATCTGCGAGTACGAATATGACGACAAGTGGAAGGTGGGTTGATGGCGTCTGGGGTTCTGGTGTGACGCTGTGGTGCGGTGGCGCGTTTGTTTTTTTGCGAGGGTTGCGGTAGGTGCTCGTAAGTTGCTAATAGGAGAGGAGGCCAAGAGGAATCGCAATACGGCAGCGATACAAGACTAACAATATGAGGCTGGCAGTTTGCGGTTTGGGTGGGCTTGTATGGCTGTTTAAACGAGTGCAAATGTTCCGTAGATCCTGTGTCACTGCAGGAGCGTGGAAGTTGTTTCTCGTTAGGATCCCCCGCGCTGTCGAACGCATCCCAGAACTCAAAGCGCCCCCCGATACTACCAACTTTTCATACTCGTTTGTCTGGTGCCACAAACACCCCCCCCTTCCCTCCTCCGTCCCATTTGCAGCGCTTCCGGCGGTGCCTGGACACGGAGGACGGTTTGGGTGCTGCCAGCGATGACGACGACGAGTGGGGCGCCGCTGCGGCGGCCGCGGATGGACGGGGCCGCCGCCGCGGCAGCGGAGCCGCTGTGGACAGCAACGAGGACAGCAGCAGCAGCGGTGAGGACGACTTGGAAGAGGAAGAATCTGACCGCGATGTGGAGTACAAGCCGGTGAGCATGCCGGGGGCCCCTGCTGGCTTCCTTTGCTGGTGGTGCTCGTTAACTGGGTGACCCTCAAGCGCCCTACCAGGTTAAATCTCCCATAGTTCATTGTGTATGAACTAATTTCCCATTTCGGCAGTCTGCCCACCGCCGCTGGGGTGCGCCTTCTGGCCGTCCATTCGCCCCCTCCACCTACTCGCTTCTTCCTAGCTTCGCTCTCGTTCCCCGCCTCCGAGCTTTCCTCTAAACAAACACCTCTGCTGCATCCTCTCATTACCGAGCAGCGCAACACGCTGGACGGTTGGGTCATCCGCAAGCCGCGGCCGGGTCAGGCGAGGCCGCCCACGCGCAACGGCGGCCGCTCTGCAGGCCGAGCCCACTGCTACAAGGCCATTATAGACGTGAGTTTTGGTTTCTCTCCTTTGTGGTTGGTGGGGCAGTCGGCGATTGAGCCATCTTGGAAGGGTGTATAACATGATCATCAGTTGACATCGCTTTCGTTCTTCGTCGTGTGCTCCTTCTCTGCGGAGCCGCAAGCCAGTTGGATTTGCTTGGTACACCTGCAGCGTATGCTACCGTTATTAAAAGGACTATTTACACGTCTTCGCATACTTGTCTCCACCTTTACCCTGCTACCATGATCAGTACCAGTTGCATGTCCGCGTGTAATCGAGTCCCTCACTCCCACCATCTCGCCCCGCTACAGGAGAATGGGTCGGGTCTGCTGCTCGACCAGGGCGCCGCCGCAGTGCCGGACCGCGGACCCGTGGGTCAGCTGGCGGCTGCTCGACGCGCTCTGGCGCTCAACAACTGCTCCGGTGGTTTGCCTTGCCGCGAAAATGAGAAGCAGGCATTGAGGCGGTTCATCGGGCAGGCAGTGGAAGAGGGTGAGCCGGCCTCCGAGCTCTTTTATCGACTGGTAAGGACACGCCAAGTATGATGGCTGATGGCTTGCCGGCTGTGTGTCTGCGCAGGTGGTGACAGTCCCGGGGTGCTATATATTTGCGGCGTGCCGGGCACCGGCAAGACCGCCTGCGTAATGGAGGTTCTTGGAGGCGTGCGGGCAGCGGCACAGAGCAGCGGGGTGCAGGTGCGCGCTGGCGGGTGTGTGTGTGTAGGATTTGGGTTCGCGATGGGAATCTATGTGGTCGGAAGGGAAAGGTAGCGTGAAGTAAATCCGGTCAACGTATGGACAAAAGAGGGCAGTACGGGCAATGGGAAGGAACGGTACCGGACTCGCGTAAGGAGAGAGGCGCACGCCGGGCAGAACCACCTTAGGATGGACGGGGCTTGAAGCAAATTACAGAGCACTGGACCCGCCGCAATGAGATGCACTTTACCCAATCGCGACTCAAACCATTCGCCTCCAACAACACTCTCACTTCTCTTCCCTCTCTTCCCTGATTTCTCCCTGTACCAACCCCCTCTCACTTACCCTCCCTCCCCCACCACACACACGCACACGCAGCTGGTCATCCTCAACGCGCTGCAGCTACCCACTCCACAGCACGTGTACTCCAAGTTGTGGGAGCGCATGTCAGGTCAGCGGTGGGGCCCCGCTCGTGCGCTCAAGGCCCTGGAGGAGTCGTTTTCCGGGGGTGCTCGGCGTCACATGACGTTGCTCATCGTGGATGAGATTGATGTGCTCATAACCCGGGACCAGGCGGTGAGTGGAGCTGCGGTTGCGCGGAGAGTTCCTCGAAGTGTTAGGGGGCGTCCGTAGAGTCCGTGGGGCCGGAGCGGTGGGGGCTTTAGTGAGGGTGGGATTGACCGAGATAGTGGTGTGCCCGAGGTCAAAAGCGTACGTGGAATGTTTATCGAGACAGAGGGGCTGAGATTGAGAGGACTAGGCAGAGGGAGAGGAAGTGCGGATTTGAGAAAATGGGCAGGAAGGAGCGGGAGGAAGGGAATGAGCAGGGGGAGGGGAAAGGGCTGGGCAGGTATCTTCAGCGCTTTTCGCTTTCCACTTCTGGTACTCTGAACACAGCACCCGGGCAGTGATACGGGTAGAGTATCTGTTTCACCTCCCTTGGTACTCTGGCTCCTCCGACCACATGCAGGTGCTTTACAACCTGTTCGAGTGGCCCATGCGGGAGGGCTCCCGACTGGCTGTCATTGGCATCTCCAACACCCACGACCTGGACAGCCGAGTGCTGCCACGCATCGCAAGGTGGGTGGGTGCCCTCCGCAACTTCATCTTCCTCCTGGGGTGTGTGCTTGCCTTTGGGGTCTGTGTGGGTCCGGTCGCTTTCTAGATTCCCGTCCATGTCCGATGTGGTCATCGCGGTCATGGCGACGCCCTGGCTTGTTTTTACTGACCGGCGGCCGGAACCTGTCCCGTCCGATGTCAAATGTGCTGCTGGTGCCGTTGGCGATGTTACTCTTGTTACAACTTTTCTTATGATTGTGTTCCCCTGCAGTCGGTTATCGGGTTCCAAGCTGGCGTTCAACCCCTACAACTGTGACCAGCTCCGAGAGATCCTCAACAGCCGCCTGCAGGTGCGTGTGTGTGTGTGTTGAGATGTGTTTTGGGAGTGCTGGAGTGACTCACGTGGCGGACCCGGAGCTTGACCTAAACATTTCCGTGTCAATAACCGTCCGTCTGTGCAGGGACGGGCCAATCGACAGAATTTAGCAATTCAGCTTGCTTATTCCTTGCCTTTCCAGTTTCCTGGTAATGTGTGCTGTAAATCTTGTCTGATGTGCTGTACCATATGCAGGGCGTCACAGCAGTGGCAAAGCCTGCGGTGGAGTTCTGCGCTCGCAAGGTGCGTGGTGCTGATGGAAATGGTAGCAAACAGGGAGCTGGTGGCAAGGGTAATGCTCCGTGCCTGCGGGCCGCTGCTAACCGTGCATTGCGATGTTGTTAATGTCGATGTGGATGATGGATTGATGGTGCACGTCAGGTGGCAAGCACGACGGGGGATGTCCGGCGGGCGCTGGAGCTACTCCGGCGGGCCACGGAAATCGCGGAGACGGAGCTTGCGCTTAAGCAGCAGCAGCAGCACTCACAGCAGGTTGGCGGCGGCGGTGCGCCGCCACCGTTGGACGTGACCAATGCTGTGGGCGCTAGGCAGGTTCGTTTTTCAAAACACAAAAGGAGAGACCGCGCTAGGTAGCACAGCAGCCTGCTGCTCGTTATGTTTATCGGGGGCCATGTACTTCTCGCTTGTGACCTGAACTCGTGGGCCATGCTTGGGCGCCGCTCGAACCCGACATCGAACTCCTTGCAACCCCTTACAACACCTTTCACACTGAAATTGAATCTTTGCTTCTTTGTTTCCCACTCAACCTGGACAGGCCCATGCCGCGATCAAGGAGATGTATGGCAGCATACACATGACGTTGCTGCGGTCTGCGGGGCTCTACCAGAAGTTGGTGTTGGCCGCGCTGGTGGTGGAAGTGCGTGCACAGAGCAAGCTAGAGGTCACACTCGGGGTGAGTACAGGCGGGGTGGTGGCTCCGCCAGACGAGATGGCGCCAGAGCCCGGGTCGTGGCGGCGAGGTTAGGGGAATATTGGGGCCCCCGTTTCGGGAAACCTACAACACCCGTTTGCGTGACTTAACAGTACACGTGCCATCTTCTTCCTCTCCTCTATAACTTGGGCTCGTCAGGCCTTTCGTTTTTAGCCTGTCGGTTGCTTTTCTCCACGCCGTCCCAGCCAAATCCCACATCAACGTACATCACGGTATCTATTACTTGTTTATTTGCTTACCCCGATGAGCCCTCTAAAACCTTTCATGTAAATGTAAATGTACACGCAGGCGCTGCACCACCGGCTGACGACCCACTTGGCGCTGTTGATGAAGGACGCGGCGCTGCCGTTGTCGCGTGCGGTGGAGGCGGCAGCTGCTCTGGGTGCGCAGCGGCTGGTGCTGGCGGAAGCGGGCTGGCAGGGCCCCGGCATGAAGCTGGCACTCAATGTGCCCCTGGTAAGGAAAAGAACAAGTTCGAGGGCTGCGGTGGTAGTTGTTTAGATATTTGCGCGCCTCATCCGATTGAATAACAGGCTAAGCAAGTTGATCGCCACCTCCATGGCCCCCCCGGCTTTTACAGACACACCCGCACTTGTGTGCGGAACTTGTAACTTGGATTGCCGGTTGTGCAGCTCGTTAATCGTAAACGCCCTGGTTGTTGACTGTCTTGCGCGTTGCTGACCACAGGACGACCTGGTGGAGGTGCTCCGTGCCGACCCCGCTTTGGCGCCGGTGCGGTCATGTCTGGCGTGAGACAGCGATAGCACCCTAAGTGGCCGGTAACGACACAGCGAAAGTAACTCCCAATCGGCTGCCCCCGGAGCCTTACGTCCGGCCTGCGTCTGCAGCGGTGTAGTGTGCTGCATCCCTCCTTTGAACGGCAGCAGCGGCGGCCGTGGACCGCGAATGGACTCCGTCTGCAGGCACAGGCGCTGATTTCATATTATTTGCTACATATGCATGAATGTGCGAAGTAGGGTGAGGGGATATACAGCATCACTCGTGGCCGCTAGCCTGATGCTGGCAGTCCCTACCTTTCCCGATGTTATATCGGGGCACTCTCATTTTTCCCATGAGTAGTGACGACCTCTGCGGACAAAGTCAGAGTGACTTTCTCAGGTTCAGCACCCACCACCGCCACCACCACCACCATGCACCCAGTGGAATCTGTGCCCGGATCAACGGCGGCGTCAATATCACTCTCCTGGTCGGCTCGCGGGTCATTGCAACCGGGTCGTAATCGTCCATTGGCAGAGGGGTGCTTCCACGCTTCTACTGTCGAAGGACTTTTTTCCGCTCTTTGTCGAGATTGATTTTGGAAACCTCTGGGGACACAATGTCGCATCTTAACATATTCGCTGTGTCTGGAGCCGTGCTACATATGTATGTATTGATTGTACCCACGTATGTATGTATATATTCGCCGTCGGTCCATGGATTTCCTTGATTTCGTATGTCGGGAACATTCCCAGATATGGAAATGGACTAGGCTTAATTGGTTGCGTGCAAATGCGTTTGCAGCCATTGACTGCCAAACTAAAGAGACGGAACGACGGACAGGGTTTGATGGATACGGCGAGAGGAAGGCAGGAGAGCGGTGGCTGGCCCAAGACCGTGTCCGCGTTGCGTTGACTGCTTAGGGTTACAGTACGCACCTTTTTGGTGATTTTTCTTATTGCATGCTCCCTTCTGTTAGGTCCGTCAGAAAGTGGAGTGCTTGGCTGTGTAGATTGCCTAATGGAAGTAGCTGGAACAGCGACGGACGGCTGTGTCACAGGCCGAAGAAGGCCATGCTGCGATTAACGCGTATATAACAATGGACAGATGCGCATGTCTGTCTTTTAGCATGACGTCAGTCACCGGCCTCAATTTTGTCGTCGCTGACGGGAGATCGCAATTTCTTGACGCTGACGTGCAGTGCAAATCGAACGGCTGTATCTAGGCATGGTCACCGAGTAGAATGGACGCGAGGCGTTTCCGGTGGCTTTAACCCTTACTTGTGTAGAAGCTGGCAGCTGTTAAGGCCTCTATGGATGCTGGCAGAGCGCTTTAACGCGTATATGTACACGATGCGTGTACCGTACTGTACGACAGCTACTACACCTCGCCGGAGGTTGCCTTGTTTCTACTTTAAAGAATATTTGTTTCGCTTTCATGGCGACCTACCGTTTTTCAGGGAGAAGTCACCTCCGTTTCGTCAAGTTTATGGTTGTTACCATCTTCAGGAATGGTGTGGTCCTGGAAACATTGCGTGGGAGGCACTTGGAAAGGTAACAGTACGAGCCATATCTTTTCAACGATTGGAACGGAAGCATTCATTGAGGGAGGACAGAAGGCACTTTCTTTGAGTTGCTAGGGATGCGAGGAAAAGGAATTAACCCTGGCCGGGCAAGTGGTCGAAGTTTGACTTGCTCGTGTCTTTCCTACCTGATCTTTCCTACCATGTCTTTCCTACCTGGGTGTCGGGACAGGTAATCTCCGTCCGTTGCTGTTTCATTTTTCTTGTTTGAGCCGAGATATCTTAGTATGCGCAGAGCATGTAGCTGCGGTGCTTGGTCGGGTTAAGTTGGGTTTGTCGAAACGACGGCAGGGTTTGGCAAGGCATACCCTTACAGACTACGGTTTGATCTGTAGCACGGGTGTTGCAACCGGTAGCGGAAACATTAAAGTCCCAAACACGAGGGGAACGAGGTCCTTCAGCGACCCTAGATTGCCGTTACGCAGAATCCTTGCAAAAGTCGAACACTGTTGTTCCACGATCCTCAGCATCATGTCCGGCGCATCAGAACCCAGCCTTGTTATGCACAAACCAGTATCAATGCACATTCCTAACTACCTGCTTATCCCAACGGTCATTGTGACGAATTTATTAATAAGAACAAACTACCAGCAACCACACCACATAGACGCCCGCTGCATATCCACTAGTAAAGCTCGCGAGGAAGCCGACGAAGAAATAAACGTGGCCATAGCATCCTGCAGATAATAAAAAAACACATCCTGCAAAAGACATCCTGGCCCACAATTTGAGCCTGCAACCTCCACCACCGTCGTAACAGGTGGTAACGGCAGCGGGGAGGCACCAGAGGAAACTTTCGAAAGCTAGTTCCAGCGATTGCCGCAGGCCCCTTTCACTGAAGCACCCCAGCCCATCTCTCCTGCCCCAAGCAAGCGAAACATCTGCGTACGAGAACCCTTTAAGAATCAATCATATTGATCAGCGCGATATGCTTGATCATTCCTGCTCAACGGAGCACGCCACCGCATCCTCCATCGAACCATTCCTGCCCAGAGTGTTCCGAGCTCCCTTACCCCTAGTTGTACGGAACCAATCCTGAAGGGTACAAGGCACGGCCACTGAAGCGAATCCACTCAAGGAAGGGACCGTAGTTTAGCCCCGCATTGCGAGGCCGCTCCATGGTCACCAAAACGCCGCCAGTGGCAGTGGCCCGCAGCTTGGTAGGCAAGTTTGCCGGGCTGCCGCCCGCTGGCACAGCCAGGTTCATGCCGCTCTTTGCGGGCCCAACGTTGATCGCCAACACCGACTGGCACATGCTCGTGTCGTCAGTAACATTCCAGACGGTGCGGCCAAGGTTGCCCTCAACCACGCCCCGCGGAGGGTACACCCATTTAATGAATTGGACCTACATACACGTAACGGTGGCAAAGGCATAAAGATGTTAGGCGGAAAGATTAAGGGACATGGTAATCAGCAGCCAATCCAGTCCAACAGCACGTACAGACGCACAACAGAAGCCCATGCAGTCTGAAAAGGGTTGATAACCCCGACCCAAAGCCACAGCTTGCTTACGGTAATAACTCCGGAATTCCTAATCTGCTTGAGGTATATGCGCGAAATCTGCATGGGCTCCTTGAAAAATACCGCAACACTGAGCTGGTCCGCGGTCGCTTTCCACGCGTACTGACAGGCCGTGCAGGTTGTCGGACATGACGGCTTTGCCGGGTAGACCTGCGGTTATTGATGTTGACAAAGCAAAGGGTGCAGGGCGTCATGTCGCGATAGAACCGCTTTCTCTGTTAATGGGCCGCACACCGCACACAGGGCAGGACGAATGCGACTCACCAGTTGGAGAGGAGATTGCTTTGTCAGCTGTGACTTGAAGTCCCCGTCATCATTCCAAACAAGAGACCTGCGGGAAATTGCGCAAATTGGCCTCAACATTCATTTCCTCAACAAGCCACGTTCGAAGTAGCTTGCAGTAACCCAGCCTAGCTACCATAAATCGCTATGATCAACGTCACATGCCTCAGCGTACGAAACGGCCAGCTGACGTACCTGCTACTGCCACGCGCGCCGTGAGCAGAGACGTTCGTGACCTTGATAAAAAGCGAGGGAGGAGGAGCCGCTGGGGATGGGGGCTTTGGTGTCCGTGGCTTCCGTGGCGCCTTAGGCGACCTCGGCTTTGGCAGCGGTGACGGCGCTGGCGGCTTGGGTGATGATGGCTTGGGTGACGGCGGCTTGGGTGATGGAAGCAGCGGTGACGGCAACGATGGTGAAGGCAGAGGCGGCGATAAAGACACCTGGGATGGCGGTGCAGGCGGCGACTGTGACGGACGAGATGGAGACGGCGGCGAAAGGGAGGGCCGAGATGGCGATGGCGGTGATGGAACAGGCGGAAGTTGCAACGGCATCGACGGCAAAGGAATCGACTGCACAGGAAATACTGGTGGAGGCTGCGATGGAAGAGCCGACGGGCTCGGGTGGGATGGAGATAACGGAGACGACGGCGGCATTGGCGGCGGCGACGGTTGTTGCGGCGGCGACGGCGATGGCGGCGACCAGCCATCTTTGACGCCAAATGCACCTGCGACCATGGCACGACGTGTATCGAATGACCGCCTAGGGAAAGAGTCCTTCAAAGGTTTACAAAGCACGGGAACCATTTTCATTAATTGCAGCTTCGGTGTCAAAGGGTGCTGACGGAATGTTTGTAATACGCATTGACTGACACAACAAACGTGGCATTAACTAGGCCCCACACTATTGCTTACCAGTCTCAAGCTCAATACGGGTGAAGTTGACAGGAGGCGAAGGTGGGGGGAAGGAGGGGCGCTCGGGCGGCGAAGGGGGCATCATAGGCGGGGCAATCTGTCCAGGCTCCAAGGGCGGCGAGGGCGGTGGCGATGGAGGATAGGCCACACTGATAATTTTGATAACAAGGTAACCAATCTGAAGGAGGCCGCCTTGTGCTGCGTTATCCGCCGTGCCGTCCAGCATCGCACGACGGATAAACTCCGTCTCCTCTTGCGCAAGCTGTATTGCAACCAATAAAATCAGCAAGGCCAGGGTACAATAAGAAACAGCAACAGTAATTTAAAAACGACCAAAAGTGACTGGAATCACACAGGACTAAGTTAGGAAAACGTATTGCACCGCATTACTCCGATCACAGGTGCTGTCTTACATACAGCGAACCGTGCACAAAGTTGCCCCTCACAGACCTGAAGCATCATCTCATCCGTGATGGGGGCCTTGCTGACAAGGTAAAGCTCAAGGGGCCGCATATCCGTCTTCGCATACATCTCAGCAATCTCTGCATCGGTGAAAATGCGCTCGGAAGTCTCAATTGCGCGACGACGCCAATGTCCACGCAAGCCGGTTCCGTTGGGGAAAATGATAAAGTTGACAATCACGTTGCCAGTCGGCACGTCCTGCAAACACGGCAACGTGAAACAAATGGTATTCGTAAGCACAAAACAAATTCTGTTCCACATTTGTGGCATGCGAGACAACGTATCCGAACAACGTCATCGACCTACGTTTGCAGCAGCCACCGAGATTTTCAGGCGATTGATGAGCCCCATGAAGTCAAACTCCTCCCCAGCTGGTTCTTGGTACACTGCCGTATACTTTGCAACTTCCATGGCCTTGCCAAGTGGCAGTGGGGGAAAGCCCGTAAGCTCGGGGGGCGAAGAGGGAGGGGGGTTTGCCGGCGTGGAGGGATACATTCCGGGAACCGCCAGGAAGCGCCGCACAATCTCAGCTGCATCCGCAACGACATCCGATGCGGTCTCCAAGACGGTGTCCACAGCAAACAAGGGATGTGCGTCGGCGTTTCCGAACAAAGGCGCGTAGTAGACTCCTGGACAAAGGCGGGTAGCGAAGGGCCGTTGAAATATTGTTTTGGCTGAGGCCTACAGTTTATAAAACGGGTGGCTTAGGAAAAGACGGTAAAACGATGCACAGTGCGTGTACGTAAACCAGCCTAAACCCAGATGCCAAATGATGCCGGATTGCTCACCTTGCGCGAAATCTGTGACGAGCTTCTTTAGAAGAGCGCCCCACTGGTCTTGTGGGCCATCCGTCCAGTCATATCCTAACCAGACGACAGCTCCAGGGTTATTAACCTTGCTGAAAGCCTGCAATAATCGTAGGTATGGGATCCGCGGACGATCTGTGTATTTGCTGCTGCAGAAAATGCTATGCCGACAGAAGTATTAGAAATGCCACTATTCAATACATATTTCGTGCAGTTCACCATAAACAATCCCACCTGAACTGCGACCCTTGTGGAGTCAAGTTGAGACGTATAAAGCGGCAAGGTCACTGCAAATTCATCCTCGTGACGGCACCAAGTTGTATATGTGATTGCGCGTGCATCCTCTAGGGTTTGCGGCCAGGAATCAGCAGCGTCGGAAAGGAAGGATGATGATACGTAGCCGTTCAGCACTGCCAAACCCCTGGAATTTCCTTGTAATTGCTTGCAGTGGCTCCATGTGCCTAGTATTATAGGCGGGGAACGCAGATTGTTAAGGGCTCAGGTAGACAAAATGTAGCTGTTGTCAAATTTGAAATTAGCCAAGGCAACTGAATGCCGTTATGACGGTAACAAAGCAGGACCAACAAATTGCATGTCTCACCCTCATAGCCCAGAGAAGAGCCGACGAAATTGCGGAGGGCTTCGCCTTCGCCGTGGTTTGCGTCCAAGATGATAACCAAGCCGCCCGATTGGACATAAGCAGCCACAGCGCCCATATCCTCAACTGAGCTGTAAAACAGGTGTCCGTTTTGTACAGGCACAACGTATGCTGATGGCTTGTCAGTGCCAAGAAGGTTTGGCTGATGAGCATGCGAAGCCTGAACATGGAAGCCAAGCTGCTCAAGCTGTTCTAGCAGGTTGTTTGGGCCTTCATTCCAATTGAAGTCAAGGACGTCACTTGTGGCATCCATGTATAAAGCTACACGAGTCGTGCCATGTTGGTCTGCCAAACATGGGCATATTGTCAACAGCGCGAGATGTAAAAGCAAGGCACCCAGGCTCCAGGCCATTGATATGGAAGACCGGTGCAATTCTTGATTGTGGTGGTGGGCAATCACAACACTTGAAGTGCCAAGCTGTTGGAAGGAAATGTGAGCGTGGATAGTGCTCGGGAACGTCAGGAGGGCGGATGGGAGCGCTGGCTAAATCGAGATCCACCCAAGCCAGATAGTTTAGGCAAGGGGATAAAGGCATCTCTGTGCCCACGCAGTTTATGTATGCTTAACGCGCAGGAAACCGTGGGCGGGCGGACTTCCGTACATGACATGTATGACGGTCTTTGAAAATTGGTTTTAACGACAGCGAGTTGGTAGAATGGCATAAATGTGGCCCTATCGGGGCTTTTCATGGCAAGTCACCCTACGAAAATATATCTGTCAGGTCAAGCGGGAGAACCCCGATGGGGCTTTCGGATCAAGAACCTTGTTGATCTTAGTTTCCCGCGCACCATCTGGTCGAAGAACTCGTCCAAGCTCTCTACCAGTGGTGTCAATATGAGTTTTATATGGTTCTGTGGCAAACGGCAGCAATCATACAGGACAACATACACCCAGATGGCCGTCATGCTGCAACATCTCATAGGGAACCCCGGTTACGCATCGTCCCGCTGCATACTAGGTAGGTAAACAGATCGTCGTTTCTACCTACATCTCTTTTACTGACAGTCCACGAGGATTGCAACTCGCAACAACTCTAGCAGATGAAGGCCTATAACAAGGATTCGTAGCGAACCCCACCGCAAGCGCACTCCCTGAACTATTCTGCAAAAAATCTTGCTTCATCGCACACCCCTCGTGCGGATCTTAAAAGAACCTGTGTGTGTATATTCGATATTGCTTAGGGCTTTCCTTTATGTGTTTCAAAAAGCGGGCTTTAAAACCCAAGACTAGGTTTGGCTTACCTTTCCTTTCTTGCACAGGAAGTAATCATTTCGTTATGATTTGCAAGCACCAATAGCAACAACGCAACTCTAACATTATGTCTGAACGAAAACGTGGTCGGCAGCGTCTTCGGTGGTCCATTGGCATCGTCGGTTCCCCAAAAACCGCACATACGTGCAGTGCAGTCCCAAACCCGCAAGCTCACGGGGCTTGTTGGTTGGCCCGCTGCAATACACTTTGCGTGGAGGATAAGGCGTCTCTATTGAACTGTTAGGATATTGCTGCGAAACTTGAAATACACGCCAGTAATTGGAGGTAATTGTCCGCATCTTCATCGAGGCTGCTACAGTTTCGCGGCAGCTACCGCAGACCACTGTGGCACATGTCGGCTTTTTACGTCAGCTGCTGTAGTATAGGCCATTTAGCCGGAGTGCACGGCATTGACGTACAGTTGCAGAGGTAAAAATGGGTGCATCAGCCCTGCTTTTGGCGTACAGAAAGGACACAGCCTCCAAGGACTATTTTTGCGAGATGCATGCGGGAGTATCAGGCGGGGAATGTGAGGCAGGCCGTGGTGCTATTGAAGGCAGGTATAGGCTACAGCTGGTTCAATGGTGTGCTAAACTGGCCAGTGTGCCTTCTCCGGGAGCGCCTTTCGTTCGTCCGGCAGGTGGGCACTAGTGATGAGCTTCAATGGGGAACCCATGTGCAGAATCCACACGGCAGCATCATTTTGCCTGTATGGGCCCCGCCATTGAAAGGTTCGTCACCTTCTTTAGTCGCATTGGGAGTGTGCCAGGCATGAACTCGTGGGCACATGTCAGACCCGTCCCTCCCACGGTAGGGGGCGAGGAGGGCAGTAACACTGCATGAATAAATAAGTAAAGCCCTGGAAGGTGTTGTGTCGTTTGCAACGAGTGCCAGCCATATGGTGCGAAACAAAAATGCATGTGTGTGTGTTACATGGTTGGGGTTGCGTGACCCCATACCTGTAAGACTACTCATACGAGCCGAAGGCCCAAGGGCAATACTACAACGCCCAAAAGCCACGGAGGAAAGGAAAACACCGCACATCAGCCCAGACTAGCGTCCAAAGGGGGTAATTGAGTTTCGGTGAGCCCACATACGTTCCAACATCCTCGCAAGACGTGCGGGTTCCCATTTCATGGCCTCCAACATGCTCTGTTGATGATCGAATCCTTCTTCAGCACGATTATCATTATAGGCTGGGCATTCCTCGATTCGGCTATTAGTACCACAATAGCGGCAAAACCGCTGGCCCCTGGGGACATGGTACTTGCCCCTTCGTGCTCTGTTTGCCTCCAAAGCCCAGCAACATAAACGAAACTGCATTAGCTTATGATGTGCTAAACGAGAAATGAAAACCTTAGCATGTGTTGCCACATGACGGCTGCGGCTCCCGAAAAGGGCAGCCCCGTCCAGTGCTTATACTTCGCCATTTGCACTCCCGGTTGCTTCCCATCTGATGGGTACTCCTCTGGCAAGACAGTCAGACGCGTATGGTCCCAGCCGCTCATCAAACGCTCTCTTAGTGCCGTTATCATCGCTCCGTCGGGTAGAGGTCTACTCAACAACCAGTCAACACGCTCCCACGACTTCTTGCGGTATTCCGCTCCAAATGTTGCACTCCAAGAAGGAAAAATGCATGGATGACTCCGATGATGGACTTCCCAGCCTAAATTCGGTGCTGCCAACTCTTAGAACTTCCTTGTGTTTGTATGTATGTTGTTACAGGGTGGTAAAGCTTCACCATCGGCCCCCTTTCCCGAGGCAGTTCCCTGCTCTCCCCTGCGAGAGGGGCACCCTAATCCATTCACCCCATCCGACTTCAGAATGAATTCAGCAACTCACCACCAGCATCCAACCAAATCTAGCAGGTCAACGGCGCCTCAACTTAGTTCCAATACAGCTCGCAAGTTGATATAATCACATCCTTCACCGTTCATAAGATGGAGGGCCGCCTCCCAATTCAATACCCCTGGATCTGTCAAGGAGTTGGCAGGCGGGTTAGAACCCGGACATTCTTGGAGCAGAAGTCAGGCCTTAACCTCTACCAGCCGCCTGCTTTGTCACCGTCACCGTAGCTTCTCGTAGCGCAGCGAAGAGCGAAGCGGAGGGAAGGCATCTCGGAATCGCGTCTGTGACCGGCTCGCGTCCGGGGCTCGTGGAAAGTCGCGCTCGATTGGATGGTTCCGGAGCTTCGCGGTTGCTCGCGTTTTTCGTTAGCGCGCGCCCTCTTCACACTCGGAGGTCGCGGGTTCGAGTCGCACACCGCGAATTTCGAGTTGCACACCGAAACGCGAGGACGCGAGGACGACAGGTCGCGGGTTCAAATCACGGGTCGCACGCAAGTTGCACGCGAGGACGCGAGGACGCGAGGATGCAAGGGCACATGGACGCGTGGGCACGTGGGCGCATGGGACCGTGGCACCGTGGATGTAGCCACACGTGGATGTAGCATGGACGCGTGGACGCGGGACATGAGGATGTAACATGGGCGTGTGCATGAAGCGTGGACGCGTGCTTGTGTACCGTGAACATGTGGGCGGGGACACGCGGATACTGGGCCGTCAGGCCATGGGGACGACTGGGCGCGGTGGTGGGTAACGAACAACAGACGCGCGTAGTTCTGTTGTTCGACATGAACTTGCAAGGTTAAACTTTTATCACAAAATATCAGGATAACCGGGGACGCCTGGGCGTGGCTGTGGGTAGTTCCACGTAGTTCCACTGTGGGACAGGACTTGCAGTGGAAAACTAGACTACAACGGCTCCGCCACGAAATGACGTGAAGTCGCGCACACCGCAACATTCCCCGGGATAAATTCAGTCGCAGAAATTCTATAGAATCATACGGATTCAGAATACATTCTATCAACCAGCGATGCTGCGCAGCACAATTATTGTATAGAAGTAATGTGTGCCATTAGCCCTCGAGTGCATTTATTAATTTTGTCAAACGGATCCAGGATAAAAATTATCATACGGATTCAGGATAAAATTCTACCAAACAGCGGTGCTGCGCAACATACATCCATATTGTATCGATGTACTGTGTTCCATTGGCCCTCAACTGCAATTCTTGAGGATAGGAGGATAACCTGTCGCGACATCAGTCTGACCGGCCATTTCTATGAACAATTCTGGTTCCGGTAAGGAGTCCTGGTTGGGACTGATGCCCGTGATGTTGCTCCATCTCCTGCATGGGCGGTAGACTAGTAATCCTCTTCCTGACATCACGCAGGATGTCGGCGGTTAGGTACAGTTGCAGGTGGAGGCTCGTGGCTTCTGAGCTTGACGGGCCGGACTCAAGCCACACCTTCCCCCCCGACACCCCAGTTGTCCAGTGCCGATGCAACCAGAAAGGCGCAGGCGCGAGCCAACCGGACGCCTGAGCAAGTGGCGGCGGATCGAGCGGCAGCTGCAGCGCGATGGGCAGATGCGTGAGCCAACCGGACACCTGAGCAAGTGGCGGCGGACCGAGCAGCAGCTACTGCTCGGTGGGCGCGGTGGTCGGAGGCGCGAGCCAACCGAACGCCTGAGCAGGTGGCCACGCATCGAGCAGCACATGCAGCTCGGGTAGCGGAGGCGCGAGCCAACCGAACGCCTGAGCAGGTGGCCACGCATCGAGCAGCACATGCAGCTCGGGTAGCGGAGGCGCGAGCCAACCGAACGCCTGAGCAAGTGGCGGCAGACCAAACAGCGGACGCAGCTCGGAAGCGTCAAGCCCGTGCGATTCAGCAACAGTCATCTGAGGAGCACACACCACAACGCACCCGCCGCAGCAGGGGTAGCCTTGTGGAGGCAGTTTTGGATGCTGCCTTCTGGCTGTTCAGGCGGCCGACAAACCTCACCAAGCCTCGTATGGGTGCCTGGTTAGACAGCAGTACAGCTTCATGGCCGGAACATGTGCAAGATGTTCCTGCGAGTCAGCCTCTGCCCACTGCTCCTCTAGCGGAACAGATCCGAGTCGCCGAACAGCTTGATGCCGCTGTCAAACACAACATGCCATCGTGTGTCTGCACCTGGTGCAGCGAGATGAAGTCCGCGGTACAGGCACACGGCTACCGGTTTGGTGACATCCCCAACATGCACCAGTTGCGTGCAGATGTTTGGAGGACGCTGGCAGTGGCGCGTCCAGCTCAAGTCGTCGCATGGCTACCAGTGGCAGCCGCACCAGGGGGCAGAGCACCACCACCGCCTGAGCCAGCTTTGCCGTGGGGCTTCCGAAAGATGTGGCTCAATGGGCATTCTACGGAGAAGACGGGGCTCACCAAGCGTCCTGGTACGACAGGGGACTCTGGTGATTCGGATGACCAAGAGCACCGCCAGCCCACCCAGCAGCGCAGTTCGTTGCAACAGGCGCGGGACCATTTGGGCAACACTGGAGCATATGGCTTCCCGGAGGACTTTCCGCCGCATGAGGCGGGCCCATCTAGTCTGCCACGGCGGCGTCGGCGTGAGACGGATGGTGTTGACGACGAGCAGGAGTCTATTCTTTCCGATGAAGAAGCGGAAGTGGATGCGACACGGCTACAAGATGCAGACGGCCAGCATGAGGAATGGATGCTCCCTTCGTGGCCGCCACGACCTGGCATGGAGCCACGGCTGGATCCCACTGCTCTGGGTGTGTGGCTAGTGCCGTACTGCATGCGCATGGAGCACTCTGGGGAGAATTGTACGGTGCACACCAACGAGGCTGGCGACGACATCATCATGATGTGCAACGACTGCATTCATGCCTTGGAACGTAAGCACTAAACACTGGGTCGGGGGAACGAATGTGTGGCAACGTATGTATTTGATGGGTTTTGGCGGCTGCTTTCCTGTGGGATGTTGTTCATCGTGGCCGGTTCTGGGGTAGGCTGCTGGGACATACGCGTTTCATGAGAATTTGCATGCGGTGCTTTCGTTGCCGATCATGTGTGCTGGGTGTTCATGCATGCACGCACACAACCGCACTGGTTATCCTGGCTGGTCTGCCCTGCCTGTGGCTGCTGCCTCCGCATCCAGGCAGATGCATCCCGGAGGCTGCTCTCGCACGCTATGATGGTGGAGACGTGCCGGAAATCAATCAGGACGGGCAGTGTCTGGAGTGGCCTACCGTGCTGGAAGCCAACATACTGGGGCTGGGCCATGTGCAGCAGCAGATCTACACGCTCAAGGTCAAGAACCGGCCGCCTGACTTGCAGCCCATCGCCGTCACAATGCACGGGATAGCCGTGGCGAACCCATCACTCGATCAGTGGGTGGACGCCATCCCACGCTCTGCTGCGTCGTTGCCGGAGAACATCACCGTCCTCTGCATGGATGTCGTCAGCAGCAAGGAGGAGCTGCTAGAAAAGCTCAAGAGCGCCAAGGTGTTGTCCGTCCGAGCAGCTAATATTGTGGCCTGGGTCAACTACCTCAGCAACCTCACCTCCGAGAGGCATATCGATGACCAAGCGATGCAGGAGTGGCAGGCAATGGACCCAGAGCGTCACGTGCCGCAGTCCATCATCCGCTCCACTGTCGCTCCGACAGATCCCAACATCGCCACGCTCCTCACCAACACCTCCTTCCATGACCACACGGGGGCCGCAGCCGTACGCCAGCACCCGTCCATCATGCAGGACCCCAGGCCGGAGGCTCTCGTCGCCACCGTCACTGCTGCCCCGTCTGCTCAAGCGGACAACACACCGGAGGATGCTGGTCTCGAGGAGCTCGAAGTTCTGGTGCCTGTTGTCCCTGACACACCTGTGCCGGGATCAGGTGATGATGCACGAAACCCGGTGGAGCTACACCGTGAGCTGACAGCGGAGCGCCGGCTGGTCTTTGCGTCTGGGGGCCGTGGTTCTAAGGTAAACTGGTAATGGGTGGGTGAAGTGTATTCCCTGATGCGCTGCTACTCTCGTGCGTGACACACCCGCATAAGGCTTGTGCCTCCTCACCGATATGCATATCACAATCGACCTGCCCAATGCATGCCTCCGCCCTGCTGCAGATCCTGGACTACTCCCGGGAAGACGTGCTTGCCAGCAACTTCCCCACCGCATTTCTGTACGCCGAGGGCGGCCTCCGTCCCCTGGGTATGAGCAACCGGAACTTCTTCCAGCATGTGTCCATGCGTGTGCCACGGCGGCAGCTCAGCGGCAACCTCCTCATGCTCGCCCGCATGGTGGACGTGCTCAACATGGAGGATGCAAAAGCGCAGACGTGGGTTACAGTGAAGAGCTGCCAGCAGGACATCGACGCGGTGGGCGCCATCCCGCGAGAGGCTGTCAAAGCGATGGCGGACATCCTGGCATTGCCGAAGATGCACCTGGATCGCCGCCGCCTGCTCCAAGACACGTCACCTCTCGTGCACACCCTCATCACCTCTCTTTGGTGAACGGTCGCACGCATCGACATGACAGATGCCTATTACTGCAACGCGCACGCCAATCTACGTGGTGTAGCCGCCGCAACCGGGCTGCCACTCCTCATGTTTAACGTCAACCCCGCCGACTTGCACAGTGCGGCTGCAGTCGTGGCCGCTGGGCAGTTTTTGGAATTTGGCGAGGACGGCGCTCTGTTGCGGGAGGAGTGTGTCATGGACAAGTGGCGGCGGGTGCGAAACAACCCCTACACCAGCCAAGCACTCCTGAACACGGTTAAGCTCGCCTTCATGGACATCCTTTTTGGTTTCAAACCTGGCGACAAGCGGCAGAGCAACCCCGACTGCTTCTGTGGCACCGTTTTCCACATCTGCATCAAGGTGGAGCAGAGTGGACACCTCGCCCTGCACTTGCACGGCATGGTGCACCTGGCAGCGACAAAATGCGGGCCCTGTTTGAGGGGCCCAACTGCCGCGCTCTGGCGCTGGCACACGCCCTCTGCAGCATGTGGCTGCCTGAGCTGTACTACGACATCCAGGACAAAGAGCGACGAGTCTTCTGGCAGACACCCCTGGTCACGGCTGCACCCACCACACCAACGGCAGTTGCACCGACGCCCATGGAAGCATCAACGGCAGCAACGAATTCTGGTGATGACGACTTGACAGATGCTACTGCAGAAGAGGATGACGGCCTGACTCAAGCAGAACCTGGCAGCACCTCGGGCACAGATGAAGACATTGGCAATGGCGACAATGGAGTCCAGCCAGCCCCCCCCCAGTGTTTTTTTTTTCGTTTGGGGCCTAATACCCTAGAGTAATAAACTGGGTGTTTCTTGCGGTTACAATTCCTTTTTGTATAGTCGCTGGGGGGGGCTGCGACCCCAGACCCCCCCTTCAAAGGCTGTACGGTGTGCTTTAAACAACACTCACAAAGCTCGTGGCTTTTTAGTGTGGCCTGCCTGGCATCCATCGTGATGTCCCGCTGCCGGCTGAGGGAGCAGGGACCGCACCGGACACGGTCGTGCACCTCGCCAGCCTCCATATCCGGTGCAACACACTCAGCCCATTCGAACAAAGCTGTCCAGTGCGCCTGGAAGCGACGCAACCGCCAGCTCCCATCACTTTGGCCTTTCGGCACACGCTGTGTTTGCTGGCGCCGCGTCTGCTTTTGAATCACCAGCGGTGCATGCTGTGAAGCACCCGCCCTGGAAGGTGGCGGTGGTGCCGTGGCGACATCTTGGGGCGGTGGCCCTTCCTCGTCAGAATCAAGCTGCTCAGCTGAGTCGCTGATTGCTGCAGTTGTGTGTTGCCGCTTCGCCGGGGGATCCTCAGCTTCGCTCAAATCGCTGGCTTCACTGACTTCAAGAGCGGCAACTACGACATGCCTATCCTTGTCTTCTGTATTATCTATTTCTTCTTCTAAATGTTTGGGGCATTGCGTCTGCGGACTTTCTGAGCCGTTTGCTTTGGTCAAGAATGAACGAATGCCCCGTTGACCTAAGTTGAATGCAACAGCAGGCCGTCTCATGGTGATATCATCAAATATTTTATACATAAATAGTGCATAAGCTCCAAATGTTCAGCTTTATATGTGCAGAAGGCATTTGGGGCGACTTATGGCCGAAGTAATGAACCAGTACGGCCAACTGACCAAATATTCCATTCCTTCCAGGCTCAGACCCCCATTTATTCCCAAATAAGTAATATATTACCAAAAAAAAAACTGCCCCCCCCGCAGCGTCCGCTGGCCGCCCCCCAGCCATCCGTGCGCCTCAGCCAGATGGATCCATGCCGGCGCCCACGTATGATTTCGCCATTGTCGCCCGTGGCAAGCCGCGTGGGACCGGGGGTGAGGCCACTGATACCTTTACACCTGAAGTGTGCTTGGAATGCTGCACCCAGCACCTTGTGGCGGGTGTCGTGGGGTCCTGCACCCACACACACACCGACACCTGCAAACACTTCGGCTGTGCAGGCGTGGATGGAGACTGCGGCATGGCCTACCCACGCCACATCCGGTGTGAGTTCAAGTGGGTGGGCGACAGCAGCCTGTTCATTCTGCCCTGATACAGCCCCAACATTGTGCCCCATTGCCCCGCTGTCACAATGGCGCTGGGCTGCAACAACATCTTCATGCTGGCCTGCGAGCTCGACCGTCAGTACACCACAACAGTGGAGGAACAGCTTGTACTGCCGGTCCCCATGCGTGATCCCGAGGTCCTGGAGGATATCCTTGTGCAAGCAGAGGTTGTGGCCCACCAAACCACGCACTATGCCACCAAGTATGTCGCCAAGGCCACGTCGCAGTGCCCACACTCCACAAAGAACCCCCTCAATGTCCACACCCTCGACGACCAGGGCAGGGAGACAGTCCTCAGGGTGCGATGTCGCAACGTCCCTCTCGGAGACGCCTATGCTGTCACGGACTTCTTCGTCCAGGGGTGCAGTTTCAAGGATGACTGCTGGACCGTCGACCTCTGCCCACCGCCAACTGGCATCAAGTGTGCATGCCTCTTTGTCATCCTCACGCGCTACAAGTCCATGGACCATATCCGCCTCCTGCACCCGCTCTACAACAACGCCTATGAGAAGGCACAGGTCATCAAGGCGTTCACCAAAGCAGCCACCATCCACCCGGACCTCGACGCAGAAAGCAAACTCCAGACCGCTGCTGCACAACGTACCCGGGAACGACACACAGCACTCTTCCAGGAAGCACAGCGACTCGTCGACAGCCGGACCACGAACCGCCCACCACCGCGCTGACAACAACATTACAACACCCGTAGCGCAGCGAAGAGCGAAGCGGAGTGAAGGCATCTCGGAATGGCGTCCGTGACCGGCTCGCGTCCGGGGCTCATGGAAAGTCGCGCTCGATTGGATGGTTCCGGAGCTTCGTGGTTGCTCGCGTTTTTCGTTAGCGCGCGCCCTCTTCACACTCAGAGGTCGCGGGTTTGAGTCGCACACCGCGAATTTCGAGTTGCACACCAGTTGCTATTTCTTCGATTCTGCTAAGTTATCCGGATCTAGAATTTTTTACCTGCTAAATGGTCATGTCCTGGAGAATTTGAAACATATACGCAATTTAGTACATGATGTTATTCCCGGTATAGGAATGGAAACCTACTGCATTATGCAATTTTGTAAAATCCTGGACCGAAATCTTTTCCGGCAACTTTCCATAAATATGGCCCTACTTTATGCTAATTCATACTCACATTTTAAAATAGGGGGGTCCTTGTGAAGCAGCTGCCCGCGTTTCCAAAGCACGTATGGTGTTGGATTGTAAGGTGCCCAAGTACGTTTGCGAGGAAGAGAATGTGGCCAGGCTGGAGAGGAAAGTGCAGTGGCATATTGGAATGTGAGATTAGCGTAAGCGAATTACAGGGCGTTTTATTGCACGGGCGAATTTTCGTGCAAATCTTTCACCGTAGCATCAGTCCTCAGTTCACTTCTTGGAACGAACATCAGCATAGGTGCAAGCCCTCTCGCTTGGAGGGATATGCAAACGAACATCCTGATAGGGGTAAACTCGCACGCTACCGAGCATTCAACCGAGCACATGCATGCTTAGTTGAATGGTGAGATGCGACCCCCCCTTCATTTCGTGCTCGGCAAGCCTGCCACCGCGTACCGGATATGTTGGCGATGTTACAGAACGCTGCACCTTGGTTTCTGTGCGCATTGTGTACGTTGCTCGACCCCGCCGACCAAAACTACACGTGCCCAACTGAAGACATTCCCGGTGGTTGTGCAGCAGCTCTTGAGGCTGTTGCTGGCTGAAATCCATCCTGAGCTGTTGCAACACGGCTAACGCGGGCACGTCCCTATGCACAGCAAATAGCTGTTCCAAGCCAACAGCGGCGTCCATGCCACCGACAAGGCTCTAAACGTCTTATCTGTTCTTATGTTTAATTAAGTTTATGTATGTTATACTTTGCGCAACTTTGTAATTTGACTTTACTCTGAACAAGGTGCTGCATACAACTGCCTCTTCGCCAGCGCTTCATCTTCCGCGGCAGTTTCACGGGCCCAGAGTTGCAAGCTACGACGTTGGCTTTCGGTGCTTTTATTTACTGCAAAGCATCGACGCAATAGTCCAGCGTGCGGCTATGGCCAACATGCTCACCTGCGCAACGCGCTGGCGCACCTGGTCCTCATCCGCCAAGAAATTTTATATACATTTGTACAGGCGCATTTTGCGAAGCGCACGCGCGCATCTGCGCGGCAAAATTCGCTCCTGACTTTTGGGACGAGATGTGCGGAGTCTCTATT